AAATGATTGTTAATTTTAGAGAAGGATTTTTTGTCTAGGGAGGGAAAATAAAGGATTCATTACCTTTAGAGAAGGCCCTCCTTCTAATATAATCTTTTTTTTTTTTTTTTTTGGGGTGGAATTTGGCTGGAGTGCAATGGTGCGATCCGGCTCACCGCAACCTCTACCTCCTGGGTTCAAGCGATTGACCTGCCTCAGCCTCCCGAGTAGCTGGGATTACAGGCACGCGCCACCACGCCCAGCTAATTTTGTTATTTTTAGTAGAGACACGGTTTCACCATGTTGGCCACGATGGTCTTGATATCCTGACCTCGTGATCCGCCTGCCTTAGCCTCCCAGAGTGCTGGGATTTTAGGCGTGAGCCACCACGCCTGGGCCAACATAGATCAATTTTTTTTTTTTTTTTTTTTTTTTTTTTGGTAGGAGTTCTCGCTCTGTCTCCCGGCTGGAGTGTAGTGGGGCGCGAATCCGCTCACTGCCAAGCGCTCCGTTGCCTCCTGGGTTCACGCCATTCTCCTGTCTCATCCTCCCGAGAAGCTGGGACTACAGGCGTCTCGCCACCCACGCCCGGCTAATTTTTTTTGATTTTTAGTAGAAACAGAAGTTTCACCATGTTCGCCAGGATGGTCTTGATCTCCTGACCTCGTGATCTGCCCGCCTCAGCTTCGCAAAGTGCTGGGATTACAGGCGTGAGCCACCGCGCCCGGCCAATTTTTTGTATTTTTTAATAGAGATGGGGTTTCACCATGTTAGACAGGGATAGGTCTCAATCTTCTGACCTTGTGATCCACCCTACTCGGCCTCTCAAAGTGCTGGGATTACTGGCATGATCAACAGCGCCCGGCCTGTAAATCTTTTAAAAACACTGTTGATAGGCAGTTCACATGTTAATTGCTAATATTGGCTCAGTACTTCTGAGTTAACGGATTTAGTGAGGTTCACTAGGTAATATGAACGTTAAAAGGTTGTTATAGAAATTCTCAAGTAGCTGATGTTTCTTATTTTTATTTTATTTTGTTTTTTTTGAGTCGGAGTCTAGCTGTATTGCCCAGGCTGGAGCACAGTGGTGTGATCTCGGCTCACTGCAAGCTCTGCCTCCCGAGTTCACACCATTTTCCTGTCTCAGCCTCCCGAGTAGCTGGGACTACAGGCGCCTGCCACCATGCCCGGCTAATTTGTTTTGTGTTTTCAGTAGAGACGGGGTTTCACTCTGTTAGCCAGGGTGGTCTTGATCTCCTGACCTCATGATCCACCCGCCTGGGCCTCCCAAAGTGGTGGGATTACAGGCGTGAGCCACCGCGCCCGACCAGTAGTTCTTATTTTTAATGGAAACTTTTAAAAGTTATCTGTCTTTGTGTCTATTAGAGTCTTGCTATGTCACCCAGGCTGGAGTGCAGTTGTGTAATCGTAGCTCACTGTAACGTTGAATTGGACTTGAGCTTCCCAGAGTGCTTGGGATTATAGGTGTGAGCTACTGTGCACAGCCTCAAATTTTTTGATACGTAGTTTTTGGAGGCAGAGTCTCACTCTTGTTGCTCTGGCTGGAGTGCAGTGGCATGATCATAGCTCCCTGCATCCTCGAACTCCTGGGCTCAAGTGATCCTCTTCTGCCTCAGCCTCAGCTCAGTAGCTGGAACTACAGGTGCCTACCACCATGCCTGGCTACATTTTTTAATTTTTTGTAAAGACAGGGTCTTGCTGTGTTTCCCGGGCTGGTGGTTTTTGAATTCCTGGCTTCAAGTGATCCTTCTGCGTTGCCCTCCCTAAGTGCTGGGATTACAGGTATGAGCCACCACACCTGAGTGTGAACTTTTAGTAATAAAAAGTTAGTTTCCCCCTTAATCTATTCACTCAGGTCTCCTTTCCTAGATGACAACTACTACTAGGAGTTTCTTGGGTGTTCAGAAATATTTTTTGCATATACAAATGTGCAATACATTCTTTCTCTACTTTTGAAAAATACTGTGCCTCAGTGTGGGTGTGCTTTACCTATTGCCAGATGCCTTGCTTTTCTAAATGTTTCTTCATTGTTCCACTTTAGCACAGAGATGCCTTCCTAAGTCTTTATTAAGTACGACATATTTCTCTAGAATGAATATATAATAGAAACATCTTAGATGCTTGTATTTTATCATTTTATTTTAAAGCTTAATGATCAAATGATTATAAGCATAAAATGTAGGTTATGTGCTGGCATTTGGGTGTTTAAGAATTGGCTAGCTTTTATGGTATGAGTTTCAGACTCTTAATCAGAGGAATACCATGGTTCTAGTAAGTACGTCTGCATTGCAGCTGGGTATTTAACAAAGTCTCTTGAAACCTTTTAGTTAAAATGAGGAAATAGTCAGGCGCGGTGGCTCACGCCTGTAATCTGAGCACTTTGGGAGGCCGAGGCAGGCGGATCACCTGAGGTCAGGAGTTCGAGACCATCCTGACCAATATGGTGAAACCCCTTCTCTACTAAAAATACGAAAATTAGCCAGTCATGGTGGCAGGTGCCTGTAGTCCCAGCTACTCGAGAGACCGAGATAGGAGAATTGCTTGAAACCAGGAGGCAGAGGTTGCAGTGAGCCGAGATCATGCCACTGCAACGCTCCAGCCTGGCTACAGAGCGAGACTCCGTCTCAAAAAAAAAAAAAAAAGTTATTTGAGATGATTTGACTGAGTGGATTCACAGCTAATTAACTGGTCACAAATTCAGCTGTTGAGTGATTTTGTAAAAGAGGCCAGGTTTATGAATTGAGGTCAGTTCGAAAACAAAAAGAATGATGTCAACTTTTTGTTTCTTATTTTGTGTGTTCTTTTCAACATATAGATGACAAACTTTGATATGATGTTTAGAAAACTTGTGAGTAAAAGGATAGGCAATGTGAATGTTTCTAAAATTCAAAATCGGAAGGTATTAAGTTCTTAAAGAATATATTTTTGAAAAATGAGCATGTTTGGAAAGAATTATATATACATGGTTTAAAATTCTAGGGGCTCTTAAGAATATTCCTTTGTGTTCCCTAGTTATTTACTTTTTCCACCCGTAAAGAAGCTAACGTTACTGCTTTCTTGTGTGTTCTTCAGGAAATGTTTTATGCATCTCCAAGGAAACACACACACGTCCCCTGTCCTTAAAAAGAAGAGGAAAATGTTTAAACATTGTTTTTACTTTATTTCCATTAACTGTATCTTGGAGATATTTCCATGTCAGTATATATAACGGGCATTCTCATTAGTTTGGATGCTTGCTTATTATTCCGTTGTATGGATGTACTGTAGTTTTGGAGTTTTTAAAACCAGGGCCCTAAAAACAGGACATTAGCTTGCTTTTACTTTTTTTTTTTTAATGCTACTTCAAGTAATTTAGCAATGATTAACTTGTGCCATGAATTCCTGAAAGAATTGCAGTATCAAAGTATATCTGTGCATTTATAATTTTTAGAGCGGTTGCCAAATACCTAACCCTAAAGAGGTTGTATCAAATTACATTTCCACCACACAAGAAAGTGGTGATAGAATTAAAAGCCAATGCTCTAGTGCCCCATATAGTTACTTTTGGCATGTTTCTAGTAAGTGGGCATTGCCTGTGACTGGACATTTTCAGTGATGGACATTCATTACTTACCAAGATAGCCCAGTGCATGTTTAGGTGATTTGGCTCTTGGAACTTCCTTATATAGAATAAAAATATTCCTCAAACCTTCTGCCTGTTGGTCTTGTTTCTTCTTTTGATGATTTCTTTTATAAAATAATTTTAATATTTGAAGGCAGCTGTCACATCTTCCCTTTGCCATTCTATTCATCATGCTTTCAGCTTTTTTTTTTCATAGGTTATGGCATTAGGATCTCTCTAATCTCCTGGTTGTCCCATTTATTCCAGTGGTATCCCATATTATCCATACTCTGAAAAAGTGCTACCTACAATGTGGCATTTCCAAGTGTCATTTCACCTGTACTTTTTAAAGTAGAGTTGTCATACCTACTCAAGTAGGACAACATCTGCTGTTGTCCTATTCAGGGTAGAAAAGTAATGTAATTAAATTTTCCGTTTCTCTGAACGTAACATGAATGTGCTTTTAGTAGAAACTTAATTTCTCAGAAGTGCTCTGTGTATGCATTTTTTTTTTTTTTTTTTTTGAGATAGAGTCTCGCTCTGTTGCCCAGGCTGGAGCATAGTGGCATGATCATGGCTCACTGCAGCCTTGACCTCCTGGATTTAAGTGATCCTCCTGCCTCAAGCCTCTTTGTTGCTGGGACCACAGGTGTGTGCCACCACGCCTGGCTAATTAAAAAAAATTTTTTTTAGAGATAGGGTCTCGCCACGTTGTTCAGGCTGGTCTCGAACTCTGGGCTTAAGCGATTCCCCCACCTTGGACTCCCAAAGTGCTGGGATTACAGGTGTGAGCCACTGTGTCTGGCTCATCTTTTTTTTTTTTTCACGAGATGGAGTCTTGCTCTTTCACCCAGGCTGGAGTGCAATGACGCAGTCTCGGTTCACTACAACCTCTGCCTCCCAGGTTCAGGCTATCCTTGTACCTCAGCCTCCCGTGTAGCTGGAATTATAGGTGTGTGCTACCGAGCCTGACTCTTTTTTTTTTTTTTTTAATTGTATTTTTAATAGAGACTGGGTTCTACTGTGTTGGCCAGGCTGGTCTCGAACTCCTGACCTCAAGTGATCCGCCCACCTTGGCCTCCCAGAGTGTTGGGATTACAGGTGTGAGCCACTGCGCCTGTACCTGGCCAGTCTTTCATAGGTTATATAAATTCCTTGGTTCCCAGTTTTTGCAGTTGTTTCTAATTCAGCTTAGTTAATGGTTAACTGTGTTTATTCATTATCAAAAAAAGTACAGTGTAATAGAAAAGACCATCTTACTATTAGAAGTGTGGGTATCATCAAATTAAGATTTTTGATTTTAAAATTATTAGGTTCCAAGACCAAAGATTAAATTAATAAAAGGAGAAACTGGACAAAATCTGCTGGAAATGATGGCCTGTGACCGTCTGAGCCAATCAGGTAATAGTAGTATTAAACTAATTTAATTTAAAAAGAAAAAGGAAATTTCTGTTAAGTTGTATCTTACGATAAAATCTTCATCTGTCCAGGAGATAATTTGTCAAAATTATTTCTTTTTGCCGTATCAGTTAAGAGCAATAGGTATGGAAGAGATGGGAAGAAAATAGCACATTCTTTAAAAGAAACGAATATTTGATATTGTTTGTTCCTAGGTGGAGAGGATTTCTTAGCTCCTTACCTGGCTGCTAGAGCCTCTATCCTGTTTAGTCACTTCCTGAACTAAGTATAATCATTGATTTGCCGACCATTTAACACCAGCTGCTTCTAAAAACACTGCTGTGGGGATATAAAGATGGAGAAGATATAGATCTGTCTTAAAGAGCTGAGAGCATAGTGAGGAAGATAGATGACATATACTTACCTTATATTAGTCTCTTAGAATTTGTCTATTTTTTTCCCCATTTTTGGCTTGGGATGAATCCTAAAGATCTGTTACATATTACCTGTGCTTTTGCTAAGATTCGAACTTTAAGGTAGTTAGGTGGCCATTGAATCAAGCAGTGAACTGAAGAAACATAATGCTTTCTATAATGAACAGTTTTGTTATAAAATTGGATGAATTTTGTAAAGAGCAAGATGTAATATTAAATCAAAGTTATTGTAAGCTTTGGTGTATAGTTAAGCTGTTGGCCAAAGCTCATATTGCTCTTCTATTCCATAGCTCACTTTTTTTGTGGGAGTTAGACTTTCAGTCCTTAAAGTGACTTTCTACTTTTTTCCTTTTCTGTTTTCCTTCTACCCTTGCAGGGCTCTCGTAAGTGCCTTTGCATGGTGTCACAGTTAGATAAAAATTGCCTGTATTTTTTTTATGTCTTTGATCTGGGCATCCCGAGGGTGCCTCTGGAAGTATGCTGAGACACAACTGTGTAGTGGTAACCAAACCTGATTGCCCAGCAGAATTAAGGGAGGGTTTTTAAAAAAAAGTTTAATTGAAATGCAATTCATATACCATATGCTTCACCCATTTAAAGTGTACAGTTCAGTGGCTTTAATATGTTCATAGAGTATTACCATTGTCACCACAAACAGTTTTAGAAGATTTTCATCACTCCATGAGGAATTCCTTACCTATTAGCAGTCACTTCCCATTTTACCCAAACCTCTCAGCCTTGGCAACCACTAATCTGGCTCTGTATGTTTGCCTATTCTGAACATTTCACTTAAATGGAATCATATAATATGTGGTCTTTTGTGACTGGCTTCTTTCATTTAGCAAGGTTTTCAAGGTTCATCTGTGTTATAGCATGTATCAGTACTTTATCCAATGACTATGATTTTTTAGATTGCTTATTGCAAATCTATGGAATAAAAATCTCTGGGAGCGAGGCCCGGAAATATTTTTTTTTTCCTCTCTCTCTGAGACGGAGTCTCGCTCTGTCGCCCAGGCTGGAGTGCAGTGATGCCATCTCGGCTCACTATAAACTCCACCTCCCGGGTTCACGCCATTCTCCTGCCTCAGCCTCCCAAGTAGCTGGAACTACAGGCACCCGCCACCACGCCGGGCTAATTTTTTTTTTTTTTGTATCTTTAGTAGAGGTGGGGTTTCACCGTGTTAGCCAGGACGGTCTCATCTCCTGACCTCATGATCCTCCCAAAGTGCTGGGATTACAGGCATGAGCCACCGTGCCTGGCCGGAAGTAATTCTTAAAAGCTGTTTAAAGGAGAATTCTGATCAATCAGGTTTAGAAATCAGTGTATCTAAAATCAGAAAATTTGTGACATCAGAAAATAAGAGCTTGTCCCTGCTTTCCTATGGCCACTTAAATCCAGACCTTTTCATCTAAAATGCAAATATGTTTAGCATTTTTCATACACATTCCTGTCTTTTTTCCGCCTTCTGCTGTCTTATGTAGATACTGATAATATTAAACCTGTACTCTTCTTATTTTCTACATAAGCCCCTGTTTTGTTGTCCAGCTATGTTTTTTGGGTTGGAGAGTTAGGTCTGCAATAATCATGTTATTTCCCCTTTGGGTGTACAAATGAAACAATATGAGCAAATGCAATCTGTATTTTTAAAGTGATGGAAATAACTTAATTTTTTTTTCAGGGCACATGTTGCTAAACTTAAGTCGTGGAAAGCAAGATTTTTTAAAAGATATTGTCGAGTCTTTTGCCAACAAAAGCGGGCAGTCTGCATTGTATGATGCTCTGTTTTCTAGTCAGTCACCTAAGGATACATCTTTTCTTGGTAGTGATAGTATTGGAAACATTGATGTACAAGAACCAGAGCTTGAAGATTTGGCTAGATACGATGTTGGTAAGTTACATGTTTCAGAGGAAACTGTCTGCATCTTAATTCTTATAAATTGCCCATAATCTTATTACCCAGAAATAATGACTTAATATTTTCCTGTATTCCTTTCGTGTGTGAGTTGGGCTGGGGGGAGTTCGAATGTGGTGCTGTGGAGGTGGCATGTATTTTTTTGTTGTTACTGTTTTTGAGACCAAGTTTTGCTCTTGTCGCCCAGGCTAGAGTGCAGTGGTGCAATCTCGGCTCACTGTAACCTCTGCCTCTTGGGTTCAAGCAATTCTCCTGCCTCAGTCTCCCAAGTAGTGGGATTACAGGTGCCCACCACCAGGCCCGGCTAATTTTTTGTGTTTTTAGTACAGACGGGGTTTCATCATGTTGGTCGGGCTGGTCTCAAACTCCTGACCTCAGGTGATCCACCTGCCTTGCCCTCCCAAAGTGCTGGGATTACAGGTGTGAGCCACCACGCCCAGCCTTGTTGTTTTTTGAGACAGGGTCTTGCCTTGTCACCCGGGCTGGAGTGTAGTGGCATGATCGTAGGTCACTGCTACCTTGAACTTTTGGGCTCAAGGGATTCTCTTGCCTCAGCCTCCTGAGTAGCTGGTACCACAGGCACATGCCACTCTGCCCAGATAATCTTTTTTTTTAATTGGTAGAGACAAGGTCTAACTCTGATGCCCAGGCTAGTCTCAAACTCCTAGGTTCGAGTGATCCTCCTGCCTAAGCCTCCCAAAGTGTTGGGATTAGGCCCTGCAGGCACAGTGGCTCACATCTGTAATCCCAGCACTTTGGGAGGCCGAGGCGGGCAGATCACCTGAGGTTAGGAGTTCGAGACCATTCTGGCCAACGTGGTGAAACCCCGTCTCTACTAAAAATACAAAAATTAGCTGGGCTTGGTGGTGTGTGCCTGTAGTCCCAGCTGCTCGGGAGGTTGAGGCAGGAGAGTCGCTTGAACCCGGGAGGTGGAGGTTGCAGTGAGCAGAGATCACACCCCTGCGCTGCAGTCTGGGTGACAGAGCGAGACTTCATCTCAAACAGTGTTGGAATTACAGGCATGAGCCACTGCATCTGGCCATATTTTTCATCTAAATAATGTTTATACTATATGTATGATTCATCTTGCTTCCTTCATGAATTCTCTACCATAGACTCTGTATTAAAAGTATAAATATCACTTTTATTGGCAATGTAATCTTTTTTATGAAGTAGTCATAATTTGCTGCTTTCTGTTACTGGGCCATCCAAGTTGTTTTCAGCTTTTCCACTGTTAATAATCATACTCTGATAAAAACTTCAACAAAAAGTGTCTTCATTGCAAGTTATCTCCATAGAGATACCTAGAAACAGAATTACTGAGACGAAGGACATTAACATCTTTTAAGTCTTGCATATTGCCAAAATGACAGAAAGATTATACCTCTTTATGCTTCCAGAAGTGCATAACCTTTTGTTTTCTTTTTTGTTTTTTGAGATGGAGTCCAGCCCAGGCTGGAGTGCAGTGGCGCAGTCTCGGCTCACTGCAACCTCCGCCTGCCAGGTTCAAGCAGTTGTCTTGCCTCAGCCTCCCAAGTAGCTGGGACTACAGGCAGGTGACACCATGCTTGGCTAATTTTTTGTATTTTTTAGTAGAGACGGAGTTTCACCATGCTGGCCAGGCTGGTCTCGAACTCCTGACTGCACATAACTTTTTCAGTATTGACTTTCTTGTAGAAAAACAGATTACTATACCTATGGATTAATATAGTGGTGTTCCATTGCTTTAATGACTTAACTGAAAGGAAAACCCATTGTTTTGGAATTTCTTATTAGGTTAGGTGTTCTTTATTTGGCTTTTCTCAGTTGATTTTGGTTTATTGAGTTCTAGTCAGTGTCATTTTTTTAGATGGACTTAAACATTCTTCACTACTTTTTTAATTAAAATTTCTAGAAATAAGTGAGAATGCATTTAATAAGAACATGAGATTTTGCCTAACATAGAATTCCCCCCAGCTTTGATATAGAAAAGCAGTTATATAATTAAGATATATATAATGTGAATTAATTGTTTATTTTGGCAAAACTAATGGCACAAAGAAAATTTGCAAAACCTTAAGCCGATTTTTAAATTTTATTTCAGGCGCTATTCGGGCACATAATGGTAGTCTTCAGCACCTTACTTGGCTTGGCTTACAGTGGAATTCATTGCCTGCCTTACCTGCAATCCGAAAATGGCTAAAACAGCTTTTCCATCATTTGCCCCAGGAAACCTCAAGGCTTGAAACAAATGCACCTGAATCAATATGTATTTTAGATCTTGAAGTAAGCAAAGATTTTAACAAATTAAATATTCTGAATTTTGTTTAATTTTTTTTTCCTAACTTAACTTTTCCTTAAATAAAACAGGTATTTCTACTTGGAGTAGTATATACCAGCCACTTACAATTAAAGGAGAAATGTAATTCTTACCACAGCTCCTATCAGCCGTTATGCCTGCCCCTTCCTGTGTGTAAACAACTTTGTACAGAACGACAAAAGTCTTGGTGGGATGCGGTTTGTACTCTGATTCACAGAAAAGCAGTGTAAGTAGTAAAACAAAAATATTGCTTTAACTTAGTGCGTAGGTTTTAACAGGGATTTAATCCTCATGTGAAGATTTAATTTGTCCTGTGACCCACTAACATATATGTATGTAAGTGCTGAACTGTGTATTTAGAAAGCTATTTTAGTAAATTAAACTATTTTTTAGACCTGGAAACTCAGCAAAATTGCGACTTCTAGTTCAGCATGAAATAAACACTCTAAGAGCCCAGGAAAAACATGGCCTTCAACCTGCTCTGCTTATACATTGGGCAAAATGCCTTCAGAAAACGGTGAGTTTTAAAGTATAAACATTTTAAAGAACATTACCTTAATTTTTTAAAATCATGAACTTTTTATTGAAAGTCTTTTTGTTCTGAAAACAGCAGCTTGTTCATATTATGACAGATGAATGTGTTTTTTATTGCTACAAAATAGTTAATGTAGTTAAATATAAGCAGTTAGAGGAGCAATGCCTGGCACACAGTGAATATTATGTATTAGCTGAGCTGTTACTGTTATTCCTTAATAATTAAGTTCTGATAATTATTCAGCCTGAAAATTAAAAAAAATTACCACAAGACTTTGTAAGTAAGAGCATTATAGATCTTTCTAAATGTTTAAGGTGTGTTCTGGGTCAGGATTAGGTGTAGATGGTCAGCCTTTTGAACAGAATGACACTACAGAAGAGGCAGGTTTCAGCTGTCTAAAAATGGCAACTGTTAAAAAGTAGTTTGGATTGCTACATTAGGGTGGTATCATTAGAAGTGTTTAAAAGTTGAGTGTAGAGGCCAGGCACCGTGGCTCAACCTGTAATCCCAGCACTTTGGGAGGCTGAGGCAGGCGGATCATGAGGTCAGGAGATCGAGATCATACTGGCTAACATGGTGAAATCCCGTTTCTACTAAAAATACAACAACAACAAAAAGATTAGCCAGGCGTGGTGGCGGGCGCCTGTAGTCCCAGCTACTTGGGAGGCTGAGGCAGGAGAACGGCATGAATCCAGGAGACAGAGCTTGTAGTGAGCCGAGATCGCGCCACTGCACTCCAGCCTGGGCAACAGAGCGAGATTCCGTCTCAAAAAAAAAAAAAAGAAAAAACACAAAACGTTGAGTGTAGAATGACCACTGGTATTAAGTGGTTTAGTTATTACAGCATTTGGAAGTTGAACAAATGACTACTGAGGTTCCATTTGGTTTTGACTTGAAATTTTAGCCAGTTCTTACAACTTGTAAATGAACTTTAGATCTAATCATACGTGTTCCTTAAAGGTGTGTGCTTTTAACTTTCTTTTTTAGGGCAGCGGTCTTAATTCTTTTTATGATCAACGAGAATACATAGGGAGAAGTGTTCATTATTGGAAGAAAGTTTTGCCATTGTTGAAGATAATAAAAAAGAAGAACAGTATTCCTGAACCTATTGATCCTCTGTTTAAACATTTTCATAGTGTAGACATTCAGGTAACAGAGTTCCTTTGTGAATTTACTGGAGATGGGAATTTCCAGTTTATAAACAAAGACATGAAGCTATAAACTGCTTAAATTAATTGTCTTGTTATTTAATGGTAATCTTGTTTTCTAAATTGACTAGCTCTCACAAATAAGATATGACAGAGAAGAGTAATGAGTTGCTTATCTCTTAAGATTATATAAAATCTTTGGAAAATCATTTGGGTTTTATATTCTGAGTATAAACAGTTTGACTGAAAACTATTCTGTGTGTTTAGGCATCAGAAATTGGTGCATATGAAGAAGACGCACACATAACTTTTGCTATATTGGATGCAGTAAATGGAAATATAGAAGATGCTATGACTGCTTTTGAATCTATAAAAAGTGTTGTTTCTTATTGGAATCTTGCACTGGTAAGTAGATGTGGTACTTGAGCGAAAAGTTTTATTTATTTATTTGTTTGTTTGTTTATTTATTTATTTTTATTTTTTTAAATTTAATTTAATTTAATTTTTTTTTTTTTTGAGACGGAGTCTCGCTCTGTCGCCCAGGCTAGAGTGCTGTGGCTGGATCTCAGCTCATTGCAAGCTCCGCCTCCCGGGTTCCCGCCATTCTCCTGCCTCAGCCTCCCGAGTAGCTGGGACTGCAGGCGCCCGCCACCTCGCCCGGCTAGTTTTTTGTATTTTTTAGTAGAGACGGGGTTTCACCGTGTTAGCCAGGATGGTCTCGATCTCCTGACCTCGTATTTATTTATTTTTAAAGACAGGGTTTCTTTGTTGGCCAGGCTAGAGTGTAGTGGCACGATCTTGGCTCACTGCAACCTCTGCTTTCCAGGCTCAAGCGATTCTTGTGCCTCAGCTCCCGAGTAGCTGGGATTACAGGCATGAGCCACCATGCCTGGCCAAGCTAAAAGTTTTTTGTTTTAAAAACCTGATTATTTCATAAAAGCACTATTTGTGTAGATTTTTCACAGAAAGGCAGAAGACATTGAAAATGATGCCCTTTCTCCTGAAGAACAAGAAGAATGCAAAAATTATCTGAGAAAGACCAGGGACTACCTAATAAAGATTTTAGATGACAGTGATTCAAATCTTTCAGTGGTCAAGAAAGTAAGTAGCAGGTTGTTGTATGTATATTCTTACTGATAACTCACTGATCAGTGTTTTTGCATTGGTCTTACATTTTGGTAATTTCAAAAATACTCAGTAATATGTTGTTACTAATGCATAGAAGGGATGTGTGTGTCTAAATGCTTATATTTGCTTGCTTTGTCTTAGGTTTGGTGAGTCTTTTTAAACTTGGAAATCTAGGTATCTGTTCTTAAAAAGTACTTCCTGGGGAATTAGAAAAGATTTCTAAGATAAGACATTGATTTTGTTATCTTAGCAATGTAATCAAAACAAATACAACCTCAGGACTAATTCTTAATGAACTCTGCTGAAATTGAAAGTTGTTGCTGACAACTTAAGAGCATTTCTTCTCATCTTCATCAGCCATTATGAACGCCCTTGTTTTCTTGCTGTCAGCTGTTTGAGATTGTCATGATGATGTTAAATTATGTTCAGTCTTCTGAGTGTTTTGTTGATTAATTTGTGTTGCTACTCTTTTATTAGGATTTATGTTGTCTGGTGTATTGTAGCATCTCTATTTCTGTCACCATTCAAAATCAGTTAGAAAACATCAGTAACTTATTTTGTTCACTTGGAAAAGCTTTCTAAGTTAACATTCTTTTATCATTTTCATGGCTAACAGAAGTAATATAAAGAGCGTAGACTTTAGAATCCGAAGATGTTAGATTGTATACTATTTTTCTGTGTTCATGAAGAAAAAAATTATAGAATAAAGACAAAAAAATAAAAATTATACAAAACAACAGAAAAAGAAATATAATTTAAAAAACACTTTCACGTATATTATTAAAGTATAAAGTGCTTATTAAAGTGACAAAAATGTAAATATATCATTTTAGAGTTTTTACTTTTGGAATTTTTTGCAAATGAAAGCTGTTAATTAATGTCTTTTATTTTTAGTTGCCTGTGCCCCTGGAGTCTGTAAAAGAGATGCTTAATTCAGTCATGCAGGAACTCGAAGACTATAGTGAAGGAGGTCCTCTTTATAAAAACGGTTCTTCGCGAAATGCAGATTCAGAAATAAAACATTCTACACCGTCTCCTACCAAATATTCACTATCACCAAGTAAAAGTTACAAGGTAAACAGGGAAGAAATGAATCATTTCATTGTGAAATATGTTTCTAAGTGTTTTAAATACTGTTTTATTATTTTTATTATTTTTTTAGTATTCCCCCAAAACACCACCTCGATGGGCAGAAGATCAGAATTCTTTACTGAAAATGATTTGCCAACAAGTAGAGGCCATTAAGGTAAGTTACTTAATTTCTCTAGCTATACTTTTTATTCCAAGATTCCTTCCCTGGCCACTCCCTTGCTTTTTTTCTGAAGCTGGTCAGAATGTCCCCTTGCCATCCAACTAGTATGGCAAGGGGACATTTTGTCTTTTTTTTTTTTTTAAAGAGAGGGTCTTGTTCTGTTGTGCAGGCTGGAGTGCAGTGGTATGACCACAGCTTACTGCAGCTTCGACCTCCTAGCTCAAGAGAGCCTCTTAGCTCAGCCTCTCGGGAAGCCAGGACTACAAATAGTCACACGCCACCATGCCCAGCTAGTTTTTGTATTTTTTGTAGAGATGGGATTTTGCCAAGTTGCCCAGGGTGGCCTTGAACTCCTGGCTCAGCCTCCCGAAGTGCTGGGATTGCAGGTGTGAGCCACTGCACCCAGTCTACATACCTCAGTCTTGACCCTTTACCATATTTTGTTTTGTTTTGAGATGGAGTCTCACTCTGTTGCCCAGTCTGGAATGCAATGGCGCAATCTTGGCGCACTGCAACCTCTACCTCCCAGGTTCAAGTGATTCTCCTGTCCCAGCCTCCCGAGTAGCTGGGATTACAGGCACCCGCCACCAGGCCCGGCTAATTTTTGTGTTTTTAGTAGACACAGGGTTTCACCATGTTGGCCAGGCTGGTTTTGAACTTCTGACCTCAGGTGATCTGCCCACCTTGGCCTCCCAAAGTGCTGGGATTATAGGCGTAAGCCACCACGCCCAGCCCTTTACCACATTTTTGAAGTACTTTATGTATCTCTCTCCTCATCTTCCACAAAATTTGAGACCTTCAAAGGTAGAGACTGTTTTATTTAAAATATTAGAATTCCTGGCACAGAGAAGGTTCCTGAGTGATTAAACTACTGCAATGTACTAATCATATTCTGGTCTATGAGTTCATTCCCAGATTAACTGTGGAGTACATGTGTTTCAAATTTATAGCTAGGAATTAAAAGTGGTCTGAGCTTCAAAAAGTCTTACTGTATTTTAATACTTCCATATGAATTTGACTTAATTATGTAAGGAAATAGTTACGTGTGTATATGTTATTTTAACAATAGGGTTCAAAGGAGTTTGACTTTTTTGGAATTGGAAATACAAGTATGTTCTTTCATGCTTATCAGGCAAGAACTAAATTACTCATACTTCTAAAGTTACACCAAGGATATGCTGATATGTGGTGATTATTACAGTGTGATCAGCAGTGCTTGCAACTTAAGAGAATACTATTTGGTGGCGAGGACATTTTTGAATTTGCACCAAAATTTTGAATGTTAATTTTGTGTAGTCGTGGCCTGTGATAATTACATACAATTTTGACTTAACATACAGGTTTCAGTCTACCGACATTGTATTCTCTGGAAGTACAGTGGAGCACTAGTCCATTAGCTTGAAAAGCTTGGTACTAGTACTGACTCTGCCATTAATTAATGATCTTGGGCCAGTCACTTCCTTTGTGACTGTTTGGCTTCTTATCTTTAAAATGAGAGAATTATTGAAGCCAGTTCACATTGAATGTTAAAAATTACAGTTAAAACAGTGATTGCAAATTCACAGCTGTGTTGCAGATACCAACAGTGACCATAAAGTTTTCCAGGTGATTCCACTAGTTTCTTATTTCTTGGATGTGTGTATGTAGCATCTGGACTAGGCACTGTAGATGAATGAGTGGGGGAAATTTTATTTAGCTTGAAAATTTGAGATAGTTTTGGACCTCATAGTTAGGTCTTTCTGGGAAATTTTTATTTGAAACACTTGTAGAAAAAGAAAGCAGACATGCTAGATCTGTCTCTGACCTCACTTGTTACAACTGGTCAGATCCCGGGGCTGATACAGAGAAGTTTGAAACTTTTCAAAATTTACCTGTTTTCTGATACCACTACAGTTTCTTTGGAAAAAGAAAGAATTTCCTGTTAAGTGTCTGTTTTGTAAGGGGACATTTTGTAGGTGCTAGGGTTGGGTATGGTGCTGTCATTTAGTTTTCTTCAGCAGAGATCAGATAGCCACATAGCTACACTAGATGGCATTGTATCTATCTGCCATCTTGTCAAGGTAGCAGAGTTGTGTTAAGAAAACATTTTTGGAGTCAGATCTGGTTCAAATTCCAGCTATTATTCCCTGCATCCCTTTCTCTCATTTTAAGGTAGGAGCCAATATTGTTTACCGTCTACAGTGTAGACAGCATAAAAATTAAGAGTTTAAGTGCATTGGACATATTATTATATACATAATAAATTCTCTGCAGCTACTACTTTTTTCCCTTTCCGGGTGGGGCATTTGAACATCACCTTGAGAATTAGTTGTATTTTGTTACAGCACGGGGTTAAGTGAAAAGCTAGTTTGGGGAGGTGATTTGGAATGTCAAGTAGTCCAGATGGACAGAAAAGTAAAGCAGTGTAGAAAGAACACACTGAAAAGATGTTCAGTGTAATGTTAGAGGACTGTGAAAGTTGGGGAAAGAAGTTTAATTTGAAGTTACTTGTTTTTTTGAGCAGGGAATTGTCTTGGCTGGAGGTGAATGTCAGAAAGATTAATGTAGGCAAGTGTAGAATAGAAACGAAGGTATGATCATTTAGGAGAGGTTATTTGTTTAGGTGAGAGAGTTAACGAATTAGGTTTTGTATTAAGGAATGAAAATGGGAGCAGGTAAAGTTTTAACAAATTAAGAATCATATTTTAAAATCGGCACCAGGTACCTAGAACTCATTGGCAAATAGAATTTTTCAAAAGATATAATCAGGGCCAGGCACGGTGGCTCACGCCTGTAATCCCAACACTTTGGGAGGCTGAGGCAGGCGGATCACGAGGTCAGGAGATCGAGACCATCCTGGCTAACACCGTGAAACCCCATCTCTACTAAAAATACAAAAAATTAGCCGGGCATGTTGTTGGGTGCCTGTAGTCCCAGCTACTCGGGAGGCTGAGGCTGGAGAATGGCATGAATCCAGGAGGCGGCGCTTGCAGTGAGCTGAAATGCAGTCCAGCCTGGGGACAGAGCGAGACACTGTCTCAAAAAAAAAAAAAAGATACAACCTATAATCCCAGCACTTTGGGAGGCCAAGGCAGTGGATCACTTGAGGTCAGGAGTTCAAGACTCGCCTGGCAAACATGGTGAAACCCCATCTCTACTTTAAAAATGCAAAACATTGGCCGGGTGTGCTGGCTGATGCCTGTAAATCCCAGCTATTCAGGAGGCTGAGGTGGGAGAATTGCTTGAGCCCAGGAGGTGGAGGTTGCGGTGAGCCAAGATTGTGCCATTGCACTTCAGCCTGGATGACAGATCGAGACTCCATCTCAAAAAAAAAAAAAAAGGAAAAATCAGTTATTTAAATTTAAAAGAGTAAGTTTCCCCAGCACTGTTTCTGGCATGATATAATTAAATGTTTAAAATTATTTGATTTTTTTTTCTTCCAATAGAAAGAAATGCAGGAGTTGAAACTAAATAGCAGTAACTCAGCATCCCCTCATCGTTGGCCCACAGAGAGTTATGGACCAGACTCAGTGCCTGATGGGTATCAGGGGTCACAGACATTTCATGGGGCTCCACTAACAGGTGAGCTGGCAAGTGGATAATCGCATATTTTAGTAAAACTACTTTACTAGCCTCTTTTAAGTCGATAACGTGTGAAATCACCTTGTTTATATATATTTGTTAATGTACATGTCAACGTCTGTTTATATGTTACTTCAAAAGCTATATTTGGTGTTACTGAGATTTTTATAACCCCAAGCAGAAAAGACGAGATGTGATCACGTGTATATAAAGGCTTAAAGAACCCTTAATCCACACCTCAGATAAGCTGTCTGAGATGAGATTATTCCTTAAATTGAAAAATGTTAATGAATAGAGTTATGCACTAAGAAATGCTTAATTAAGAACCTACACCTCTGGGGAATTATTTTGATGATAATGATGAGAGGCAGGACATTATATAGGAAATCTTACTTAATTTGAAATATTATGGTTACATAAAGAAAGAAAAGGACTTTGGACCTGAATCATACTGGGTTTTTAAGTTGTGCTCTGTCACTGTAATAGCTGTGTAAGTTAACCTGTTTGAAATGTGGAGATAATACTTGCCTCACATAATTACTATGAGCATTTGTGTATGTGCAGATGGGCGTGGGTGTATATCAGACATTTATTAGAGTATACAGTAAACAGTTAATGAACTAAGGTTACTATTAGTGTTTACTGTGGGTTGGCTATGTGCAAAAGTGCTTTGTGAACGTAATTTTATTTAATTACAGTAACTTAGAATGGCTGGTACCATTATTAATCCCTTTTTTATAAATGAGGAAATGGATAAGGAAAGGTTAGGTAACTTACTCATTATTATACAGCTAGTTATTGATAGAACCAAGATTCAAACTCCAGTGGTGTAACTCCAAAGCACTTGCCAGTATAATACATTGCTCCCAGGCAGCCAGAAAAAACAAAAAATGTTCCTTTTACGTAAGACAGACTCCTGAAATGGTAGTAGTGCACATTTTTTTTTCTCTCTTTTTAGCCCAGGAAAGATTTAGAATAAAATCTAGTTTAGATGAGCACATTTGTGTGATGGTTCATATAGTTAAAGCAACCCCACTAGCCTTTTGCGATGGTATCTTCTCAACACAAGCAAAGTAACAGAAAATCTTTGTGAAGTGAAGCTTATTAAATGTCATAAGTCATAGATAAGTATATGAAATGTCTTAACACTCAAACCTTATTTACTTAAAAACCTTACGCATCATATAGGTCCTTGTAAGAGGATAAACAAACGGGCTGACCTTTTCTGGGGCTTTTTTAGTGCTGTGTGCAGTCAGTTATTTGGTGCCTTTTGGGTCATGATTTCCATTTCTTCTGTGTACAGGTATAAAAGGTCTTCTGTTCTTTTACAAGCCTATAAATACAACATTCTCATTGTCTCATTTTATTCTTGCAATGACCCTATGAAATGTGTACAAACAGCACATCCTCATTTTACAATTGAGAAAAATGGAGACTCCAATCACAGAACAGCTTTGTGGCACTGAAAGGGGGAGAGCCAGGATCTCCTGATTTCTGTTCCTGTGTTCATACATTTTTTTTCCTTAATAGTAAACATATCAAGATGGTCCTTATTTTTTTAAAATAAAATGATTAAAATTAAAGATTAATAAGCTCGTAGGAGATACTCAGAAGTACTGAACAGGTTGAAGAAAACTAAAAACTAACCATCTTATTAACATTTCTTACATTTGAGAGCATTTCCTTCTGGTTCTTTCTCTATACATATAGTATTTTTTATGAGATTGTTACCATGTTAGTATGTTGTGTGTGGATGAGCTAGCCTGTTTTTTAAATGTTACTTTAGTTCTGAGCATTTTTAAACTTAAATGTTTTTGAATATTAATGAGTTTGTGGTATCCCATCACATGGAAGTACTGTAAATTCTGTTCCTTTATTTATGTTGTTTCTGGTTTATGCCGTTACAAATTCTAGGACACTGTCCTAGTTTTGTAGAGTATTCAAAATATTCAGTTTATGTTCTTACCACTAGTATCTGATAGTGCCATCTTCGCACTTTTGCTAATGCTGACTTACTAGTTTATAAAATCCTTTGCCAATTTGTAGGAACAAAAGTGATACCAATTTTTAAGTTTTTTTAATACTAGTCATGCTCAACAGTTTGTGCAAATGGCTGTTGGCAGTTTTGCCATCTTCAACGTGGGTACCTTCCAGTTGTTTGGTTTCTTTGGTAAAACTCACAGAACAGATGGAGAAGAGTTTGTGTATCAACATGAGTGTTAATGTGTTTTTTTTAAGCAAACGAACACATTTGTGTTCCTTGTGAGATCTTTTGCATGAATTTGTCTGTAATTTTTTTGACCTGAACATTTTCATAGTAGCTTGAGTTTGCACGATGCAGCCTTGTCATTTTGCAGATTTTCGAGGCTCACTTCAAAAACACGGCCCTTGAGGCTATTATATTTCTTTCCTAAATTGTCTATTCATGTGGTGCTTTCAAAAATTAGATTACTTTTAGTAGATTTATTAGAGCTCTTTAGTTTTTTTCCCCACAGTTTAGAGTCAGTAGTCAATTAAAGTCCCTACTTAAATTTCAGACTTTAAGATTTTTTTTTTTAAATTTAAAATTTTATTTTTTTATTTTTTCTTTTTGCTTTCATGCAGACAGACATCTTGTAAGACTTTAAGATTCTTGGGCCATTTTCTGTCAGGTTGTTCTGTGTTCTGTGCCTGCTTCCTCCCCATAGGAATTTCCAAATTGCTATCCTCACCTCTATTAGGTTTCCAAAATCAAACTTGGGCTTCTGGCTAGCCTTTTCTAGGTCTTGATTTTTCAGTGCTTTCCAGAGGCAATTGTTTGGAACCTTTTGGCACAATTTGTTTCTTCTTCCATGTACAGGCATAAAAGGTCTTTTGGTGGTTTTCTGGTAAAACTGTCATAAAACAGTTCAAGCAAATGACTGTTGGTAGTTTTGCCATTAACATGGGTGCCTTCTAGTTGTCTGGCTTCCTGGTAAAACACAGAACAGGTGGAGCAGATAGTTTACATCAGCATGAGTGTTGATGTGCTTTTTGTTTTAAGCCAAGGAACACATTTTGTGTTATTTGTGAGATCCTTTCCATGAATTTGTCAGGTGATTTTTGAGCTGAACATTCGCAGTAATAGCTTTAGTTTACAAAATACAACCTAGTCTTTCTGCAGATTTTCTAGACCCACTTCAAATGCATTGACCATCAGATGGCATCTTGGTTCCTTAACATCCTTTCTGTGACTGAATGTCCATAATTCCACATCATACTGATCTTTCTTAGAAAAGGCACCAGCTACTTTCTTCTTTATTCCTTTTTTAATGCTTGTGAGGTAGTTGTTCTTGTTGATCACGTGATGCTATTCTCTTATTCTTCATGTCATATTTAGCAGTTTTTTTCTAGTTTGTCATTTGATAATCTTGATTGGTGTATTTTGATGTACAGAAATTTAAAATTTATGTAGTTAAATCTTTCTTTAATTTCTATTGTTTTTGTATTTATAGCTCTTGCCTAGATAGTCTTAACTGTAGTATAGACTTTAACAGTGTTTTCTTTATTTTCTTTTTTTTTTTTTAGTTGCAACTACTGGCCCTTCAGTATATTATAGTCAGTCACCAGCATATAATTCCCAGTATCTTCTCAGACCAGCAGCTAATGTTACTCCCACAAAGGTAACAAAGGAATAATTTATACATTTATAATTATTTCCTTTTTAAATTGTTTAGGGTTCCTTCAAAGAAATTCAAGAAAGCAGTTCAGTATTAAAACTTTTATGTCCCTTAAGGTGTAGATAATTTAAATTTATCTCCAGATATAGAAATTATACTTCTTAGTCACCTTTTGTGTTACAATAAGTGTGAATATTTAGAATATTTTAAAAATGGGAGTGGTAGTGGTGGATCCTTCATCATTCTGTTTTAACAGAAATAGAACTACAATGCCCTCGCTGACCCACTATGTGGTAAGTACTTTCAGGCCTGATACAGCTATATATATAACAATTGATTGAAGACTCAAAATTACAGTGGTAGTTGAATGTGATAACTTTGAGGACAGAGTGATGGGGTGCATTTAGACCCTTGCTCTTCTGCTTATTTTGACCACAGGCAAGTTTCTTAACCTCTCAATGCGTCAGTTGCCTCATATGTAAAATGAGGATAATAATAATACCTTAATTCATAGGGTTTTTGAGGATATTAAAATGAGATAATAATGTAAAGTGCTTAGAATAGTGCCCAGCTGGCACATTAATAAATGCTCAATAAATGTTATCATCATCATCATCATCATCATTATTAACATCATTTGATAAATTGTTTAGGAATGAAGATGGTATTTATTTTATGACTTTAGTTGTAGATTTGAAGATGCTGTAATTAATTTTCAATATATGCCAAGTATATATGCAAGTATCTTTGTAGCAATGTGGTTTTCTCTTAACCTATTTATGCCTAGTGTTCCATTATTGGAACACTAAGCTTATGGGAGTTATTTATATCTTACTGCTCAGGGTCATTGCCAAGGTCTGATTTTTCACACAGAAAATTTGCAGCCTCTGGCATTAACGGGTTAATGATGTGTACTACATCCCCTAATGATATCTTCTTCACTTAATATTCATGTTTGAAGTTTGTGAGAATTGGTTTGCATTTACTTATCTGTAGTTTTGCAGACAATCTACAAAATGTTTTAACTTTCTGTCTTCTAGGGCCCAGTCTATGGCATGAATAGGCTTCCACCCCAACAGCATATTTATGCCTATCCGCAACAGATGCACACACCACCAGTGCAAAGCTCATCTGCTTGTATGTTCTCTCAGGAGATGTATGGTCCTCCTGCATTGCGTTTTGAGTCTCCTGCAACAGGAATTCTATCGCCCAGGGGTGATGATTACTTTAATTACAATGTTCAGCAGACAAGCACAAATCCACCTTTGCCAGAACCAGGATATTTCACAAAACCTCCAATTGCAGCTCATGCTTCAAGATCTGCAGAATCTAAGACTATAGAATTTGGGAAAACTAATTTTGTTCAGCCCATGCCAGGTGAAGGAATAAGGCCATCTTTGCCAACACCAGCACACACAACACAGCCACCTCCTTTTAAATTTAACTCAAATTTCAAATCAAATGATGGTGACTTCACATTTTCCTCACCACAGGTTGTGACACAGCCCCCTCCTGCAGCTTACAGTAACAGTGAAAGCCTTTTAGGTCTCCTAACTTCAGATAAACCCTTGCAAGGAGATGGCTATAGTGGACCCAAACCAATTCCTGGTGGTCAGACCATTGGGCCTCGAAATACATTCAATTTTGGAAGCAAAAATGTGTCTGGAATTTCGTTTACAGAAAACATGGGGTCAGCTCAGCAAAAGAATTCTGGTTTTCGGCGAAGTGATGATATGTTTACTTTCCGTGGTCCAGGGAAATCAGTATTTGGAACACCCACTTTAGAGACAGCAAACAAGAATCATGAGACAGATGGAGGAAGTGCCCATGGGGATGATGATGATGATGGTCCTCACTTTGAGCCTGTAGTACCTCTTCCTGATAAGATTGAAGTAAAAACTGGTGAGGAAGATGAAGAAGAATTCTTTTGCAACCGTGCGAAATTGTTCCGTTTTGATGTAGAATCCAAAGAATGGAAGGAACGTGGGATTGGCAATGTAAAAATACTGAGGCATAAAACATCTGGTAAAATTCGCCTTCTAATGAGACGAGAGCAAGTGTTGAAAATCTGTGCAAATCATTATATCAGTCCAGATATGAAATTGACACCAAATGCTGGATCAGACAGATCTTTTGTATGGCATGCCCTTGATTATGCAGATGAGTTGCCAAAACCAGAACAACTTGCTATTAGGTTCAAAACTCCTGAAGAAGCAGCACTTTTTAAGTGCAAGTTTGAAGAAGCCCAGAGCATTTTAAAAGCCCCAGGAACAAATGTAGCCACAGCATCAAATCAGGCTATCAGAATTGTAAAAGAACCCACAAGTCATGATAACAAGGATATTTGCAAATCTGATGCTGGAAACATGAATTTTGAATTTCAAGTTGGAAAGAAAGAAGGGTCTTGGTGGCATTGTAACAGCTGCTCATTAAAGAATGCTGCAACTGCTAAGAAATGTGTATCATGCCAAAATCTAAACCCAAGCAATAAAGAACTCGTTGGCCCACCATTAGCTGAAACTGTTTTTACTCCTAAAACTGGCCCAGAGAATATTCAAGATCGATTTGCATTGATGACTCCAAAGAAAGAAGGTCACTGGGATTGTAGTATTTGTTTAGTAAGAAATGAACCTACTGTATCTAGGTGCATTGCGTGTCAGAACACAAAATCTGCTAACAAAAGTGGATCTTCATTTGTTCATCAGGCTTCATTTACATTTGGCCAGGGAGATCTTCCTAAACCTGTTAACAGTGACTTCAGATCTGTTTTTTCTACAAAGGAAGGACAGTGGGAGTGCAGTGTATGTTTGGTACAAAATGAGGGGAGCTCTACAAAATGTGCTGCTTGTCTGAATCCGAGAAAACAGAGTCTACCTGCTACTGCTATTCCAACACCTGCCTCTTTTAAGTTTGGTACTTCAGAGACAAGTAAAACTCCAAAAAGTGGATTTGAGGACATGTTTGCTAAGAAGGAAGGACAGTGGGATTGCAGTTCATGCTTAGTGCGAAATGAAGCAAATGCTACAAGATGTGTTGCTTGTCAGAATCCAGATAAACCAAGTCCATCTACTTCTGTTCCAGCTCCTGCCTCTTTTAAGTTTGGTACTTCAGAGACAAGCAAGGCTCCAAAGAGCGGATTTGAGGGAATGTTCACTAAGAAGGAAGGACAATGGGATTGCAGTGTGTGCTTAGTAAGAAATGAAGCCAGTGCCACCAAATGTATTGCGTGTCAGAATCCAGGTAAACAAAATCAAACTGCTTCTGCAATTTCAACACCTGCCTCTTCAGAGACAAGCAAGGCTCCAAAGAGCGGATTTGAGGGAATGTTCACTAAGAAGGAAGGACAATGGGATTGCAGTGTGTGCTTACTAAGAAATGAAGCCAGTGCTACCAAATGTATTGCTTGTCAGAATCCAGGTAAACAAAATCAGACTACTACTGCAATTTCAACACCTGCCTCTTCAGAGACAAGCAAGGCTCCAAAGAGTGGATTTGAGGGAATGTTCACTAAGAAGGAAGGACAGTGGGATTGCAGTATGTGCTTAGTAAGAAATGAAGCCAGTGCTACCAAATGTATTGCTTGTCAGTATCCAAGTAAACAAAATCAAACAACTGCAATTTCAACACCTACCTCTTCGGAGGTAAGCAAGGCTCCAAAGAGTGGATTTGAAGGAATGTTCATCAAGAAAGGACAGTGGGATTGTAGTGTTTGCTGTGTACAAAATGAGAGTTCTTCCTTAACATGTGTGGCTTGTGATGCCTCTAAACCAACTCATAAACCTATTGCAGAAGCTCCTTCAGCTTTCACATTGGGCTCAGAAATGAAGTTGCATGACTCTTCTGGAAGTCAGGTGGGAACAGGATTTAAAAGTAATTTCTCAGAAAAAGCTTTTAAGTTTGGCAATACAGAGCAAGGATTCAAATTTGGGCATGTGGATCAAGAAAATTCACCTTCATTTATGTTTCAGGGTTCTTCTAATACAGAATTTAAGTCAACCAAAGAAGGATTTTCCATCCCTGTGTCTGCTGATGGATTTAAATTTGGCATTTCGGAACCAGGGAATCAAGAAAAGAAAAGTGAAAAGCCTCTTGAAAATGATTCTGGCTTCCAGGCTCAGGATATTAGTAGCCAGAAGAATGGTAGTGGTGTGATTTTTGGTCAAACAAGTAGCACTTTTACATTTGCAGATCTTGCAAAATCAACCTCAGGAGAAGGATTTCAGTTTGGCAAAAAAGACCCCAATTTCAAGGGATTTTCAGGTGCTGGAGAAAAATTATTCTCATCACAATGTGGTAAAATGGCCGATAAAGCAAACACTTCTGGTGACTTTGAGAAAGATGATGATGCCTATAAGACTGAGGACAGTGATGACATCCATTTTGAACCAGTAGTTCAAATGCCTGAAAAAGTAGAACTTGTAACAGGAGAAGAAGATGAAAAAGTTTTGTATTCACAGCGGGTAAAACTATTTAGGTTTGATGCTGAGATAAGTCAGTGGAAAGAAAGGGGCTTGGGGAACTTAAAAATTCTCAAAAATGAGGTCAATGGCAAACTAAGAATGCTGATGCGAAGAGAACAAGTACTAAAAGTGTGTGCTAATCATTGGATAACGACTACGATGAATCTGAAGCCTCTCTCTGGATCAGACAGAGCATGGATGTGGTTAGCCAGTGATTTCTCTGATGGTGATGCCAAACTAGAGCAGTTGGCAGCAAAATTTAAAACACCAGAGCTGGCTGAAGAATTCAAGCAGAAGTTTGAGGAATGCCAGCGGCTTCTGTTAGACATACCACTTCAAACTCCCCATAAACTTGTAGATACTGGCAGAGCTGCCAAGTTAATACAGAGAGCTGAAGAAATGAAGAGTGGACTGAAAGATTTCAAGACATTTTTGACAAATGATCAAACAAAAGTCACTGAAGAAGAGAATAAGAATTCAGGTACAGGTTCTGCCAGTGCCTCAGACACAACAATAAAACCCAATCCCGAAAACACTGGGCCCACATTAGAATGGGATAACTATGATTTAAGGGAAGATGCTTTGGATGATAGTGTTAGTAGTAGCTCAGTACATGCTTCTCCATTGGCAAGTAGCCCTGTGAGAAAAAATCTTTTCCGCTTTGGTGAGTCAACAACAGGATTTAACTTCAGTTTTAAATCTGCTTTGAGTCCATCTAAGTCTCCTGCCAAGTTGAATCAGAGTGGGACATCAGTTGGCACTGATGAAGAATCTGATGTTACTCAAGAAGAAGAGAGAGATGGACAGTACTTTGAACCTGTTGTTCCTTTACCTGATCTAGTTGAAGTATCCAGTGGTGAGGAAAATGAACAAGTTGTTTTTAGTCACAGGGCAAAACTCTACAGATACGATAAAGATGTTGGTCAGTGGAAAGAAAGGGGCATTGGTGATATAAAGATTTTACAGAATTATGATAATAAGCAAGTTCGTATAGTGATGAGAAGAGACCAAGTATTAAAACTTTGTGCCAATCACAGAATAACTCCAGACATGACTTTGCAAAATATGAAAGGGACAGAAAGAGTATGGGTGTGGACTGCATGTGATTTTGCAGATGGAGAAAGAAAAGTAGAGCATTTAGCTGTTCGTTTTAAACTACAGGATGTTGCAGACTCATTTAAGAAAATTTTTGATGAAGCAAAAACAGCCCAGGAAAAAGATGCTTTGATAACACCTCATGTTTCTCGGTCAGGCACTCCCAGAGAGTCACCATGTGGCAAAATTGCTGTAGCTGTATTAGAAGAGACCACAAGAGAGAGGACAGATGTTATTCAGGGTGATGATGTAGCAGATGCAACTTCAGAAGTTGAAGTGTCCAGCACATCTGAAACAACAACAAAAGCAGTGGTTTCTCCTCCAAAGTTTGTATTTGGTTCAGAGTCTGTTAAAAGCATTTTTAGTAGTGAAAAATCAAAACCATTTGCATTTGGCAACAGTTCAGCCACTGGGTCTTTGTTTGGATTTAGTTTTAATGCACCTTTGAAAAGTAACAATAGCGAAACTAGTTCAGTAGCCCAGAGTGGATCTGAAAGCAAAGTGGAACCTAACAAATGTGAACTGTCAAAGAACTCTGATACCGAACAGTCTTCAGATAGCAAAGTCAAAAATCTCTTTGCTTCCTTTCCAACGGAAGAATCTTCAATCAATTACACATTTAAAACACCAGAAAAGGGTAAGTACTTTGTTGTTAAAGTTAAGCACAATTTTTCTTTTAATGTTTAGCTTGATGCACTCTTTGTAGAATACTAATGTTGGGATATAAACGATGCTTTGTGAACACCCCCAAAATATTTGAGCAATATATTTTTCTCTCTTAATAAGTTCACGGTGAGGTTTCAAAGAGCAACAGAACTTAGTTTAAGACATTTCAGTAACTGGAAGATACTTCTATCATGCTAGGGCAGAGCAAAAGAACTCAGTACAGTGTACGGACTCATGCTTGAATCATGCGCGTTAACGTGAGTCTTTTTTTAAAGTTTTCATTTTCATTTGTTCAGTTTGTCACTCAGAAAACATGATATTGAGGCCGGGCACAGTGGCTCATGCCTAGAATCCCAGTACTTTTGGAGGTTGAAGTAGGCAGATCGCTTAAGCTCAGGAGTTCGAGACCAGCCTGGCCAACATGGTGAAACCCTGTTTCTACTGAAAATACAAAAATTAGCCGGGCATGGTGGTGCAGCTACTCAGGAGATTGAGGCAGGAGGATCACTTGACACAGGAGATGGAGGTAGCAGTGAGCTGAAATCATGCCACTGCACTCCAGCCTGGCTGGGTGACAGAGTGAGACTTTGTCTCAAAAAAAAAGAACATGATACTGAGATGTTCTCATTTTATATGTTGTATGTTAGTCTTGCTCATTTATTAAATGAGCAAAGAATGAAACTACAGGGGTAAATGAATATATAAGACAATCAGATTGGTGGTATAAATTGAGGGATTCTGGCTTTTTATGTTTTAAAAGCATATTCATTTTGTTTCCCAAAATGTTAAAAAATGAAATATTCTTTATTTTCTAGGATTTAATTTTAGCCTTTTTAAATCTAATCCCATGGCCTTTTGGACTAGCACCCCTTCCTCACAGCCTGAGAACAAAGGTATAGAACTAGCATTCTCAGTATGAGATAACAGCAGTTTTTAGCAGCTGGTAGCCCTTAGCAAAGTATTAATAACTGTGGCTGTATGAAATTAAGTACTTAACACTACAACATGCATGTTAAAGAATGCCAGTTTAAGCAAAGCACCTTTTGACTGGTGGCATGACATCCTTTATTGTTGGTTTGTTTTTTAAAATATACTGGGATGCTGATTTGTAATGTACTTCATTACTCTGTTATTTCAAGTCTGCTCAATGAAGACCTATGTTTTATCTAATGTTTATCTTTAGCCACTAACGTCTGCCAGTATTCAAATGTATTGGCAACGGCATGTATACAATATGGAAGAGTGTCCCTGTAGGGCTGTTCTTTTGTGCATGGTTTAGAAAAATGTTGTATTTGAAAATGGACCCCATTTTTAACAGCCAGCATTCTACAGCTTGTGTATTATATATGTTGCACAGATCATTTTTAGAAGTGTGGCTACTAGAGTGGAACAAGAAGTGGGATCTGTTGAAGGCCTTCTAGAAAGGTTAGGGAAGTGAAATCTCACCATTAGTGACCAGTAACACATCTTAGCCATGCCAAACAAGTACAATGATAAAGTAACAATCTTGATATTTTTTAAGTATACCAGTTTTATTACTGGCTAAGGTAGCTCTTAATCTTTTATTTTTAAAGATACAGTCTTTGAGAAATATGAAAAGTGAACTTAAAAGTGGATGTATACTAGCATACAGTTTTGAAAGTGGATGTATACTTGCATACAGTTTCTGTGAGCTCTAGGTTAGGAATCCCTGACCTAAGAACGAATGTGTCTATACACTACTGTAGAACAAAGAGCCTTATTCTGTTTTGAATCTGATAATGTCATTGTCCCAAGGCACCTTAGAAATGAAGACTTTAGACATGAGTAAACTGAGGCCAAGAGAGGCTATCTCATTTACCCAAGGTGTCTTTACTGAGTAATAGCAGAACTGGAACAAGAACCTTTATCTTACGGTGTACTGTTATTTCTCCTAGCTATAGCTAGGTAATGATACTAAGTTTTTGTTCATAATGAAGGAGAAGGACAAATTTAACATTGTGAAAGGAAGGGCGCTGGTTCTCCAGAGCAGTGTCATCCAATAGAAATAAAATATAACCTGTGTATGTAATTTAAAATTGTCATTTGGTGCAGGCTTGTGCCTATAATCCCAGCTACTTGGGAGGCTGAGGCAGAGGGATCACTTGAGCCCACAAGTTCCAGGCTTCAGTAAACTATGATCACATCACTACACTCCAGCTCTGGGTGACAAAGCAAGACCACATCTCAAATAAATTAAATAAATAAATTTTCTAGTAGCCATATTAAAAAGAATAAAAAGAAACAGTTAAAAAGGGAAACAGATGAAAGTAATTTTATTGATATATTTGATTTCACTCATGATATCCAAAATATCATTTTAACTTCTAATTAACATAAAAATTGATATTTTACATTATTGTTTTTCACCAAGTCTTCAAAATCCAGTGTGTGTGTTTACACTTAGTATTAGCATGTCTTGATTTGGACTAGCCACCTTGTAAGGTTTTAATAGAATGTTGCTAGGCTACCATATTGGACAGCATAGCTCTCAGAATGTTTCCCTGTCACCAGTTGGTATACATGGCATGCTTCTTGACTGGCTGACTTTATTAAACTCCTTTAGCCAGAAATTCTTCTTTACATTAATAGATCAGAACAGGTTGCATATAGAAGTTTTTTCTCTTTCTAATTTTTTGCCCTTTGCATTGATGGTGGCTGGAGATGGGTGGTTTTCAGCCATATGAATCATCTTAGATTTTATAGTGTTAGTTACCCATAGAGTAACAGTTTTTATTTAATTTTATCCAGTATCATGCTTGAATGTAGACAAAGTAGATGCAACTCTAATCACCTTCCATTCTTGGCAATTGTTAACCTTCCTTACAGGAACTAATCACAGTTGGCTTTGGATTAGTTTCATATGTCTACTAATACTTGCTTATGTTTTCTTTAAGATGTTTTTTAGTTGCTGCAAATGCATGGATATTTTCATAAACCTACTGTATGCTAAGTATAGTTAGGCAACACTTTCAAATTTTTAACCTTTTTAAATTCTAGAAATTAGTAGTAATTCTTTTCAATAACTATTAAGTAAACACAAGACTTTTTTGTTTTCTTTGGTTTTAAATAGATTCTGTGTTCACTAAGGGTTTTTGGTAGAACACTAAATCAGGATGCTAATTCTAATTCATGATTATCGTACATCTCTGCATCAAAGTATATGTATTTTTTATCAGTATGCTGTTTTAACCTGCAGACAAGTTCTATGGTTTTTATTTTCAGTTAGAGTATTAATGTCAATACTTAATACCTTACCTTTGTCAATTTTTTTGACTGGTGTTACAGCAAAAGAGAAGAAAAAACCTGAGGATTCTCCCTCAGATGATGACGTTCTCATTGTATATGAACTAACTCCAACCGCTGAGCAGAAAGCCCTTGCAACCAAACTGAAACTTCCTCCAACTTTCTTCTGCTACAAGAATAGACCAGATTATGTTAGTGAAGAAGAGGAGGATGGTAAAACTTTTGTTATTTCAAAAACAGTGTGTTCCTGCTAATCTTAGTAAAATTGGGAGTGTGGTGTAATTATTTTAAGCCTGACTCTTAGAACTTATCACTAATATCCTTGCAGGTATATTCACCCTAAATGTATGTGTAAGTGGTCAATGGATATAAGGATCAAAAGGGACTGTGATCATTGAGCAAGCATTTTTTGGATGGCTAATGTGCCAGGCACATGTTTTGAGGGGATTTAAAATAATCATAATTTTTCTGGAGTCTTAAAGATGTGGAAGAGAGAGATAAGGCAGACAAGGTTCCAGTGGAAAACTTTGTATGCCATTTTTTAAGCTGAGCAGTTAAATAATTAAGTCTCAATAGAATCAGTTGGACAGTGGTATACAGTATTGGATTATGGGACAAGGAGATTGGAAGATGAGTTAAAATGAGAGCAGCTCAAACAAGATGAGAGGCTGAGCTAAAGCTCTAGCAGTAAGAGAGGTATTAAGGATATAAAATTGGCAAAATTGACTGCAATTCAAATGGGGAGAGGGAGAAAGGGTGAAGTTGGAGATAGTCCCTAAGCAAGGAAAACCCCCCAAAATTAACTAGAAATTCTTTTAATCAATTGTATTTTAAGATGAAGATTTCGAAACAGCTGTCAAGAAACTTAATGGAAAACTGTATCTGGATGGCTCAGAAAAATGTAGACCCTTGGAAGAAAATACAGCAGGTATGTGAAATGTAAAGGACATTTATACTGCTTTTAACAAGTCTTCTATTTAGAAGGAATAACCTAGTCTGATAATTTCTATAATTATCAATTTTACTATGCCCATGGTGATTTAAAATACTTTAACATTAGGTGAAAAATATTCTTTTCTGGGTGATCCTTGTTTTTCATTAGCATGTACAGGTCTTGTTACCTGGGTCTGTAGATTATATTGATGACTACCATTGTTGTAGAGAAGTTGGGCTTCATCTAATTTCGTTTGCTTGTGTTGTACTGATTTTTCAGATAATGAGAAAGAATGTATTATTGTTTGGGAAAAGAAACCAACAGTTGAAGAGAAGGCAAAAGCAGATACGTTAAAACTTCCACCTACATTTTTTTGTGGAGTCTGTAGTGATACTGATGAAGACAATGGAAATGGGGAAGACTTTCAATCAGAGCTTCAAAAAGTTCAGGAAGCTCAAGTAAGAATATCTCTAATAAATTTTCCTTTTAGTTCCATTGCTTTTGTTGATGTGGTAAACTTTAGAATGTTCTTATTTGTTTATTTTTGAGACAGAATTTCACTCTTGTTGCCCAGGCTGGAGTGCAATGGCATGCTCGTGGCTCACTGCAGCCTCTACCTCCCAGGTTCAAGTGAATCTCCTGCCTCAGCCTCACGAGTAGTTGTGGTGGCATCCTGCCTGGCTAATTTTTGTATTTTTAGTAGAGACGGGGTTTCACCATGTTGGGCAGGCTGGTCTCGAACTCCAGACCTCAGGTGATCCACCTGCCTGGGCCTCCCAAAGTGCTGAGATTATAGGTGTGAGCCACTGCGCCTGACCTAGAATGTTCTTATCAAATAGTAATAATGGGTTGTGGCTACTAAATGGGTTGAGGGGTCTAGACTAAATCAGCTATGGCCAGGAAATAAGGAATTTTAATTTTGTTCTACACAAGAGCTATATGCCAAAAGCCACAAAACACTGATGAAATAAAAAATCTAAATTAATGGAAAGGTATACTGTTCCTGGATTGGAAAACTCAAAATAACTAGAATATCAGTTTTCCAAAATTAATCTATAGATTTAATACAATACCAGTCAAAACCCCTCCAGGAATTTTTTTTTTTTTTTTTTGGGTGAGATGGAGTCTCGCTCTGTCGCCAAGATGGAGTGCAGTGGGGCAATCTCTGCCCACCTCAACCTCTGCCTCCCAGGTTCAAGTGATTCTCCTGCTTCAGCCTCCTGAGCAGCTGGGACTATAGGAACGCGCCACCATGCCCAGCTAATTTTTGTATTTTTTAAGTAGAGACAGGGTTTCACTATGTTGACCAGGATGGTCTTGATCTCTTGACCTTGTGATCCACCCGCCTCGGCCTCCCAAAGTGCTGGGATTACAGGTGTGAGCCACCGTGCCCAGCCAGGAATTCTTTATGGATATACATAAGTGAATTCTAAAATTTCTATGGAAAGAAAAGCTTATACATTTGTTACAGTTGATGAATCTACACTGACACATCATCACCTAACATTTTTACCTTTTTGTCAAAAATTTTAACTATTGATACAATCGTGATTCTTTTTATTAAATCTGTGAATGACATTGCATTTTCAAATGTTCAGAAAATTAACTTTGCATTCCAGGGTAAACTTCACTTGGTCAGGGTATAATTTTGATATGTGGTTGCGTTCAATTTGCATAAATCTTGTTATAAATTTTTGGGTTTATATTTATCAGGATACTTGTAGTTTTCTGAAACTGTCTTTGTTTTCCATGTAAGAGTAATGCTGATTGGGCTCAGTGATGTGTGTGTGTAGTCCCAGCTATTTGGGAGGCTGAGGAGTAGGAGGATTGCTCGGGAGTCCAGGAGTTCCAGGCTGCAGTGCGCTGAGATGGTGCCTGTGTATAGCCACTGCTCTCCAGCCTGGACAACAACATAGTGAAACCACCTCTTAAAAAAATGGTAATACTGGTGTCATAAAATGAATTGAGAAGCATTTTCTGTATTGCTGTTTTCTGGAAGAGAGTGTGTTGACTTGGTGCCATTTTCCCTTTAAATGTTGAGCTGTTTTCACCAATGAAACCATGTCTGGAGTTTTCTTAAGTTTTAAAAAATACTATTTATTTCTCTTCTTTATTATTTCCTTCTTTCCTTCTTGCCTCGGGTTTATTTTGCTCTTTTGTCTAGTTTCTTTTCTTTTTTTTTTTTTTTTTTTGCTTTTGAGACAGAGTCTTGCTCTGTCTCCCAGGCTGGAGTGCAGTGGCATGATCTCAGTTCACTGCAACCTCCGCTTCCTGGGTTCAAGCAATTCTCGTGTCTCAGCCACCTGAGTAGCTGGGATTATAGGCATGGCTAATTTTTGTATTTTTAGTAGAGACAGGGTTTCACCATGTTGGTCAGGCTGATCTCGAACTCCTGACTTCAAATGATCCTCCTGCCCTGGCCTCCCGAAGTGCTGGGATTACAGGCGTGAGCCCCTGTGCCCGGCCTAGTTTCTTAATTTAAAAAAAGCTTAAATTACGAATTTAAGATCATTCTTTATTTCTAGTATAAGTATTTAATACTATAAGTTTCCTTCTAAGCACTTCCTATCTGCAACTGGCAAGTTTTAATATGTGGTATTTTCTCTTTCATGCAGTTCGAAATATTTTCTTATTTTCCTTGAGACATTCTTTGTGATCTGTACATTAGATGCTACTGTGTCATTTCCAAATATTTGGTGATTTTCCTTCCGTGTATCTTTCTCTTACTGATTTCTAGTTTAATTCCTTTATGGTTTATGAAAACATTTTGAATAATTTCAGTTCTCATAAATGTTGTGAGGTCTGTCTTGGTGAATGTCTCTTGTTTTGTTGACATTGTGCCATTGGCAGTTCCAGTTTTTTCTGGCTGCTGTAGCACCCAGGCTGGGTTATAGGAGTGGCAGAAAAACTCCACGTGGATCTTAACCTCCAGATTATCTCTCTGGTCCCAAGATCCTTTTTCTTCCTGTTTTTATCCACCTTTCCAAGGCTTCTTAGAGGTGCTCTGTATGTTTCAGTCTAGGCATCTAGTTGTAGGTTTTGGGGAGAGATAGGGTGAAGTGTGTTTATTCTGTCTTCTCCAGAAGCCCAAGTTCTCAGTTCCCTTTGAAATAGATTATATAGTCATTTTTGTAATTTAGCATTTAAGTGGCATAGTGTTTTGTGACTTCCTCTTTGCAGAAATCTCAGACAGAAGAAATAACTAGCACAACTGACAGTGTATATACAGGTGGGACTGAAGTGATGGTACCTTCTTTCTGTAAATCTGAAGAACCTGATTCTACTACCAAATCCATTAGTTCACCATCTGTTTCCTCTGAAACTATGGACAAACCTGTAGATTTGTCAACTAGAAAGGAACTTGATACAGATTCTACAAGCCAAGGTAAAACTTGATATATGTTTTTCATGTATTACATAAGGGACACCTTATTTATATTTGAGAAGATAGACTTTTAAAGGCAGATCCTGAAAACTCCCTTTAAAACAAATTTTGATGTGTATATAAAGGGGCATCTTAGTAGTAGTAGTAATAATAATCAGAAAAATTGTATTGTCTTGCCAACAAATATGTTTTTATTGATAGAGTTGTGGTTATTAGGGAATACAAAGCATTATGACTCTGACCTATTTTCCTAAGTTTAAAAGACAAGAGTGTTGTTACATGTAATTTCCTTTGTGATAGCGTTTTCATTTAAATATTGTTTGAATTATATTATCACTCAAGCATATTCAAAGTGTTTTAATTATGAAGAAATTGTAGAAATATAATAGGGATTTAAAGTTTTATGGTACTATTTAATGTTTCTTTTCTCTAGTTTCAAAGCTTGCTAAATTAATTATTCAGTTACAGTAACATATTTGGTATTGCTGTCTCTCTTTCATTTCGATTTCGGGGATGGAAGTGGAAGTTTAAGTTGTATTGCTTTGTGTATATTACCTACTTTTAAAAAAAGAAATAGCCTTCAGTGTCACAAATACTACATTTATAGGCATTTGAGAGTCTTAATGTGCTAAAAGAAGAAGATGACTTCATACCTAAAGCCTCATATATTTTCATATGAGGAAAATAAGGCATGGGGCTTTCAGAGATCATGCAGCTTCACATCAGCAGAATTAAGAGAAGACCGCAAAAGTCCTTATGACGAAGTGTAAATGAGACATTTGGTTTTTATGAGCTTATAGTACAGAACACAAAAAGTTTTTATACAGATGTTTCCTAAAACCCTGCCTTTGATTGAATGCTTGCTTTGGAGTATAGTAGGCTCCATAGAGCAGAAACGGTAGTTTATTATCTGGTGTAATATAGATAGCGCTACATCTCATTTATAAAAAATAAGTTTTGGCATGCATTTGCATTTGGTGTAGTATTGTAGTATTCTTTGTGAATAGCACCTGTAAAATTAGTAATACTGAAGCAGCTCAGAATTGGATGTATTTTGTAACTTGTCAGAATTGAAATAACTCCCCTCATCCCAGAGTATACAAGGCTCTACTGTTCTCTCTGGGTCCTGGGTAAAGCTTTGATATTCAGCACAAATGAAATAGTAAATTGTTTTTTCTTTTGCCAGGGGAAAGCAAAATAGTTTCATTTGGATTTGGAAGTAGCACAGGGCTCTCATTTGCAGACTTGGCTTCCAGTAATTCTGGAGATTTTGCTTTTGGTTCTAAAGGTAAGATGAAGAGGAGAGACTTTTAATGACATTGTTACAGAATCAAGCACAACTGAAAAACTAGTTTTTTGTTGCAGTATGTAACTAAATTAGAAGTTTCTTCCCTTACCCCCCAGTTTGTTTAGTGTGTTAATAATGAAGGGCTTCTACACTTTATTATTATTTGACATCAACATAATCATAAGAATTTTCTCTAAATTTTATGTAAGCCATGCTGATAGTCCTCCCCATTCTGAAATGCAGAACCATTTTCGAGCTTTGGAATGACTCTGACTTTGGTCATTATTCTTTTAACTATACTTTCAGATTTGATTTGTTAATATTTCAGGATTTGTGAGTTTATTACTTTTTAAGGATATGATTTTTGTAGTTTTCTGTACTATCTTTGGATTTCAGTATTAGGGTTGTGCTAATTTATTGTGCTAAGTTTATAATTGGTGTGCTTGCCCATCTTCTTTAGTGGAGTTTCTATTTTTAATCCATTTTGGTAACATTTCTAGAAAATAATCCATTTCCCTGATTGTATCAGGTTTACCAGTATAAGACCATTCATTGTATTTTCTCATTCTTGTAATATCTTTCACATTGTTCTTTATAGCACCACTTAAATAGTTCTAGTACAAGGTGTTTGATTTATGGAATACATTTTATTGAGGATATATGCTTAAATGATTAATGCAGTTCAGAATTCTGTTCTTTCCTCCTCCATATTTGCACTTTTTTCACAGCTCCTGCCATCTGTAGAAACACATAAAACTTTTAGAAATTACCTTCAGATGTGATGTTATGTTGGAATTCGTGGGCTTCACTGATGTTATTTATTTTTGTTTTAATTTATTAAATAGCCTGAAATCAAAGGGTAGTGTGTCAGCAAATAAGCAATATAGTAGGTACACTTACACAAAAAAATCCCAAATAAAAATAGATAGGCTCCTTGTTAATCAGTGTAGCCTTTTTGAAGTATTATGTCAATATTGGACACTAAAGTGTAAAGTAGAAAATACTCACATATCAGGAGGAAAACCATGCCTAAATAAGCCTTATGCATTGACATTCACTTCTCACTACCACTTGTCATTTTTAGTGAGATTATTCACCAAGCTCTTGTGTATTGAACGCTTTAGTTAATTAAATTGTGCTTGTTAAAAATAGTATTTGAAACTGTAAATGCCCTGCAGTCAGTTTTGTTTGTATCCATAGGTTTTCATAGGGAATCTTTATATTTTTGTTAATTTCCAGATAATTTAGAGATTCAATCTTATTTTCTCTAATGTCTCAAAGCTTGCTGAATTAATTATTCACTTACAGTAACATCACTGTAGACCCCCTTATGACCTGTGAGACCCAGATACTGATATATTATACATATTTTTACAAATGGTTGATTCTAATGTATTCCCAGGGTAGAGAACCACTATTTTGAAAGAATTTTGAATTCTTCTGCCACATGTCCCTTGGGGTTATTTTTTAAATTTTTGCTTTCAACAAAAAAGTTGCTGAACAATTTTGTGTTTTTTTGTTTTTGAGACAGGATTTCACTCTGTTGCCCAGGCTGGAGTGCAGTGGCATGAACACGGCTCACTGCTGCCTTGACCTCCTGGGCCCTTCAGCAATCCTTTCACCTCAGCCTGCCAAGTAGCGGGGACCACAGGTGTGTACCACCATGCCTAGCTAATTTTTGCATTTTTTGTAGAGACAGAGGTCTCACTATGTTGCCCAGGCTGGTCTCAAACTCCTGGGCTCAAGCAGTCCTCCCACCTTGGCCCTGCAAAGTGCTGGGATTGTAGGCATGAGGCACTGCACCTGGCCCTGAACAGTTATTTTTGAGCCCCTAAGTTGGTATCTCATCCAGATCAGTGGTTACTGGTCTCAGGAAGTCCCCATGCAACCTGTGATTTTTGTTCTCGGATCATTCCTTTGCAATACAATTGTTTTATGTCCTTAAGAATTTTTGTCTTTGTCTCTTTTTTTTTTTGAGACGATCACTCTGTTACCCAGGCTGGAGTGCAGTGGCGCAGATCTCAGCTTACTGCAACCTCTGCTTGCTAGGATGAAGTGATTCTCCTGCCTTAGCCTCCTGAGTAGCTGGGATTATAGGTGTGTGCTGCAACACCCTGCTAATTCTTTTAGTATTTTTAGTAGAGATGGGGTTTCGCCATGTTGGCCAGGCTCATCTCGAACTCCTGACCTCAAGTGATCAGCCCGCCTCGGCCTCCTGAAGTGCTGGGATTACAGGTGTTGAGCCACCACACCTGGCCCTCCCTCTCTCCTTTTTAAAAACGTTTTTTTACCCCTCCATTAAATCCTTCTTAAAGAGAGTTTTTTATTGTGTTCTTTAAGATACTGAGTTATGGACCCTGTGACATTTTTTCTTTCTTAAGAGTTTTTAGCAGAAGGTGTAGGGTTCTTTAAGACAGTGATTCAGCAAGTGATGAAAAGTTGAGAGGTGTTTCTTTCCTCTAAGATAGTGGGGACTTGGTCATCTAAATTGAGGTGTGGGATGGAGAAGTTTCTAGTTCTCACCTTCTTGCAGGTATGCAAGAGAGAGACCATCATTGTTCCCCCACACAGAAGTAGGATGTTTAACAGTCTAATACCCTTTGGGCAGTTGAAGTCAGTGAGGTTCTCCCAAGGCTGCTATCCACCAGCCCAGCCAAGAAATCTACATTCCAGCACTAGCTTCTTCAGGAAGAAGTAGAGATGCAGAAATTATAAACATGTTTAGGCTATTGTGGCTAATTTGGAAGTAGCAGGTTTGGCCTGCTGAGCTAAGTTTACAAAATTTCAAGGTGAATACTTGAAATTTTAGAAGTAGGTAAAGAACTTAACTTCTTTACTGGAAGTCCTTGTGTAGTTTAGTATTACGAAGTTTATCCAAGGCAGTGACAGTGTTATCTTTGTATCTCTAAGCATAAACAATAACAAATGTATTCTGTACTCCCAGTATGAAGGTTTTTTTTTTTTTTTTTTTTTTTTTTGTTTGTGACAGTCGCTCTGTCACCCAGGCTGGAATGCATTGGCATGATCTCTGCTCATTGCAACCTCTGCCACCAAAGTTCAAGTGATTCTCCTGCCTTAGCCTCCTGAGTCAGGCTGGATTCACAGCACCCGCCCCACGCCCGGCTAATTTTTTTTTTTGTAAGACAGAGTCTTGCTGTTGGCCCAGCGGCTGGAGTACAGTGGGTGATATTGGATCAGCTGCAACCTCTGCCTCTCAAGTTCGAGCGATTCTTCTGCCCCAGCCCTCCTGAGTAACTGGGATTAGCAGTCCCCCAGGCCAACAACCAGCCACCACTAACTTTTTTTTTTTTTTTTAAGACAGACAGAATCTTGCCTCTGTGCCTAGGCTGGGACTGCGCAGTGGCGATCTCGGCCTCACTGCAGCCTCCCCACCTTCCTCAGGTTCAAAGCGATTCTTCTGCTTCAGCTCCCAAGTACGCTAGGACCAAGCCAGGTGCATACCACCACGCCTGCGTTTATCACATCGCGACGTTTCCTCTTACAGCCCCAGGCTAGAGTACATGGCCCATCCTCGGTTCACTGCAACCCTTCTGCGTCCTGGGTTCAAGTGATTCCCTGCCTCAAGCTCCCGAGTAGCGTGGGATTACAGGCATGCTGCCCCATGCCCAGCGCTAATTTTGTATTTTTGTAGCAGAGGGGTTTCTCCATGTGTGGTCAGATTGGTTTTCGAACTCCTGCTCAGCGATCGCTCACCTTCGCCTCCCAAGTGCTGGGATTGACAGGGCATAGCCACTGCGCCCGGGCCTAATTTTTTGTATTATTAGAAGAGATAGGGTTCACCTGTGGCTATGGTTTGGTCTGAACCACCTGACGCGTCAGGCTGAATGCCTTGGCCCCAAGCTGCTGGATTACAGGCGTGAGAATTTACTAGATAATATCAGTTTAAACACATTTAAAAAGAATGTACCATATTACATCATCGGAATAGAAGGATGATAAAATAAGAGGGCGATGAAAAAGTAAAAAATAGATACCAGCTGTTTAAATCTCTTGATTTATTCATCAGATAAAACATTTCCAATGGGCAAATACAGGAGCGGCTGTGCGTTTGGAACACAGTCAGTCCGAAACGCAGTTCAATTGTAACGTTGGTGAAGATGAAGATGGAGTGATGAAGAAGCTATTCATAAGAAGCATATCCATTTTGAACCATGATGTCCTCCAGAGGTAAACTGTTAAGCAATTAAACGTTTACTAATAATTATTTTCTCATTTTAGTTTAACAGCTTTACCCTGCTTGATCTGTCAGGGTTCCATTGTTGCATTAAGAATGTTTACAGTTGAAAATGGAGCTCTATTTACCTTTGTCTCTCTTTAAGATGTATAGCCTTTAAGTAAAATTATCGTTTTTCTGCAGTTTTACATAAATACTGGTTTTGTAAATTCTATCATGTATATGTTGGGAAGAAATAATTTTTCGTATGTTTCTAGAATATCATGTTTGTTTTTATAACATGAGTCTGCGGGGAAAAATTAACCTCATACTCACGAAGCCTTTCAATTACAACATTTAATCTGTGTTTTTTGCGACAAACATTGTCTAGCGAAAATTATTTTTCTTTTTAACCTCAGTACAAATACTTATATACTTTCTCTTCAGTAGGCAGACACCTTTTGAAACCTCTGTTCCCTATAAAGAAAAGCATTTAATTTCCAAAGGGAAAAGGAATACCCATATAGAAAGTAAAAATTTATGACAACAGGTCTTTACTCCCTCCAGCCACATCAGATTGTATTCCTAGCCTAAAGCATAACTAACCAAATAACTTGAATAATTAAACAAATTCTCTTTGTCTCACAAAGAAAATGCCTTTAAAAGAACTTGGATCTTGAAATTTGTCATGGAATTTATTATAGCAGCAAGCTATAGACGTATTTCATCTCCTATTATGGTGAATAGTAAGAATCTGGAGAAGAAGATGAAGAAATTTCATGTTTAAAGAGAGAGCCAAAACTGTTATAGATGGGTCGGGAATGATCAGTCGCTGGAAGGAACCTGGTGTTGGAGATATAAAGAATTCTTTGGCATAGCAATGAGAACTATTCCGCCTCCTATATGAAAGCAGCGAGACCAGGTTTTTAAAGTGTGTGCAAACCACGTTATTACTAAAACAATGGAATTAAAGCCCTTAAATGTTTCAAATAATGCTTTAGTTTGGACTGCCTCAGATTATGCTGGTGAGTTTTTACATTCAAATGTACTTTCCATTTTTTGGACTTTTCTAAAATCTATAACAAAACAACTTATAACAGTTATTTTAACACTAAGGTCACTCCTTCCCCTTTCCCTCCTTAATAGATGGAGAAGCAAAAGTAGAACAGCTTGCAGTGAGATTTAAAACTAAAGAAGTAGCTGATTGTTTCAAGAAAACATTTGAAGAATGTCAGCAGAATTTATTGCAACTCCAGAAAGGACATGCAGCAGAATTATCAAAAGAGACCAATCCTGTGGTGTTTTTTGATGTTTGTGCGGACGGTGAACCTCTAGGGCGGATAACTATGGAGTTATTTTCGAACATTGTTCCTCGGACTGCTGAGAACTTCAGAGCACTATGCACTGGAGAGAAAGGCTTTGGTTTCAAGAATTCCATTTTTCACAGAGTAATTCCGGATTTTGTTTGCCAAGTAGGTATTATTAAGTACATACCGCAATTGAGGTCTTAAGGAGTGCACCACACCAGTGGGAAATTTGGGTGTTTTTCCTGGACCTCATCCTGTAGTTTTGTTTAAGATTTCTTTAGGTTTTCCACACATGGAATCACATGGCATCACTACCCATTCCCTGCTCCTGCCTAAAACTTTCACGCTAAAATAATTTAGGCTGGGCACAATGACTCACACCTGTAATTCCAGCACTTTAGGAGGCCAAGGCAGGCAGATTGCTTGAGCCCCAGAATTTGAGACCAGCCTGGGCAATGTGGCAAAAATCTCATCTGGACAAAAAATACAGAAATTAGGCGTGATGGTGTCCCGTCTGTGGTCCCAGCTACATGGTTTCTGAGGTGGGAGCATCCAGGAAGCCAAGGCTGCAGTGAGCTAGGTTTGCGTCACTGCACTCCATCCTGGGCGACAGAGTCAGACAGCCTGTCTAAAAAATAAAAATAAAAAATAAAAAAAGTTAAATTTTTCAGTACGGGATGGGAAAAACCTTTTCATTTTTCATCTTCTTTCCAACAATATGAATTTCTTAAGTTTCAAATTATACTCAGGAAAGCTGGGCTTTAGGATTTATCCTGTAGCGATGAGTTCTGTGTGTATTTTAGTATTTTACTCAGGATTCCTATTAATTGAAAAAATTTTTTAAACTTTTGTTATACATTTTTTTTTCAGGGAGGAGATATCACCAAACATGATGGAACAGGCGGACAGTCCATTTATGGAGATAAATTTGAAGATGAAAATTTTGATGTGAAACATACTGGTCCTGGTTTACTATCCATGGCCAATCAAGGCCAGAATACCAATAATTCTCAATTTTTTATAACACTGAAAAAAGCAGAACATTTGGACTTTAAGCATGTAGTATTTGGGTTTGTTAAGGATGGCATGGATACTGTGAAAAAGATTGAATCATTTGGTTCTCCCAAAGGGTCTGTTTGTCGAAGAATAACTATCACAGAATGTGGACAGATATAAAATCATTGTGTTTCATAGAAAATTTTATCTGTATAAGCAGCTGAATTGAAGCTTAGTTATTACAATTTGATAATTATGTTCAGCTTTTGAAAATGGACGTTTCTGATGTACAGATGTAAAATTGCAGCTTATAGCTGTTGTCACTTTTTAATATGTTATAATTGACCTTGCATGGTGTGAAATAAAAGTTTAAACACTGGTGTATTTCAGGTGTACTTGTGTTTATGTACTCCTGACATATTTGTATTAAAATGGAATAATACTAATCTTGTTAAAAGCAATAGACCTCAAACTATTGAAGGAATATGATATATGCAATTTAATTTTAATTCCTTTTAAGATATTTGGACTTCCTGCATGGATATACTTACCATTTGAATAAAGGGACCACAATTTGGATAATTTTACTTTAGATTTGAAATATATTTGGTAATCTTAACTATTGGTATACTCATTTATGCATAGAGACTCATTTATGAATGGGTAGAGCCACAGAACGTACAGAGTTAACCAAAGTGCTCTTCTCTAGAATCTTTACACCTCCTGTGTGGTTACAAGTTAACTTTGTAAGTAGTGTACCTTCCTTCCTTAAAATATCTAGCTTCCTGTGCTCTTTCATAGGTATTCAATTAATTTTTACATTTTAAACAAGTTGACTATTTCCTTTAGGGGTTTTGTTTTAAACTTTTCTGTCATCTGTCTCTACTACCTCAGAAACTGCAGCTTGGTTCTGATGATAGAAATTGAATTTTTCCTTGTAGTTACTGTGATAAAGTATGAATATTTTTAGAAAGTCTATGCCATGTTATTTGGTTAAAGATTTGCTTTATACAGGATTGTTGCAGTACCCTTTTCTGGTAAATTTTATAGCAGAAATAAAATGACAATTCATAAGAGCCACTGACATTCAAAAAATTCATTACTTGTGCTTCTGGTTATTCTAAAGGAAGACAATTCAGAGGCAGTAAATTCAAACTGCCGCCTAACTTCCAGAGCTAGTTTCTCAAGTTTGATATACACTGAAAATGTATTTGGAAATGGCTTGTATCAAATGTTAGGCAAATTGCTAAAGAAAAGAGGATGTTCTTATTGGCCTACTCGATATGGAACTACAAAGAATCCAGGTAGAACACAAAATTCTGCATATTGCAATTATGAATACTGACTCTCTTCCACCCAAAGAACACATTCTTTCTGGTGAAATTACCTCATTTTATTTAGTGAGGAAAGACAGGTTTATTCCCTGTTATATGGGGATTTGGAAATTGGGTATCCTAAAGCAAGTAACTGTTCAAAAGAGGGGAGGGATGTTGTGCGAGTAATGAGTGATGGTATACAATCACCATTCCACTCAGCCACAAAGCCAGATACCTGAAATAAACCTACTCAAGAACCATGGATTACATATGTTTACACTAAATATTTCAAATTGGCTTATTTGGAAATCTATGTAATATAAACTGATGTAAAGTGTGTTGTAACTTTTCAGCTGAGACAGCTGATGCCTTCGTCATGATTTCAGAATAAATTCTTAACAATGCAAGTGCGTTTTAAGAGACTTTTTACAGATTTCTGTGCTTTCCTGAAGCATTAAAGTTACAAATTAAAAAGCTTTAAACTTTGACCAAAAATTTGACAAAATGACATGTAAACTGACTTTTCTAGTATTAGTATTCCAAAGATGCTTAACAGTGGCTTGTGGCATTTATGAGAAAGTCTTTGTGTCACATTTCAGGAAAGGACTTTGATTTTGTTATTTAATCACTGATGTGGTCTAAACCCACAATGATATGTATCTTTCCTTTTAAACTGGATTTTATATTGTCTCATTGAAATCTGCTTAAAGATAGAATAAAGTAATTCATTATTTGTACATCTTAAGTGGTACTTTATGGCAAAAAGTATGGCTTAAGTAATTTTCAGATAATAACTGCTTAAGTATATAGATTTTATAAAACTTGGGCATTTGGGAACTTTAATCCAGAAACTTTAGGAGTTATTAGTCCAGAGATGCAGCTGACAGTCACAACTTAGAAAAGTAAAATATTACACCACTGTAATTGTATGAATGAGAAATGAAGTGGTTGTACAGTTCCCCTCAGTTTTGTTTAACAGGTTTTCAGGTTGATGTATACTATGGCTAGCACTGTTGTGGGTACTGGCAAAAGCTTTTTTCTTTTCAAAAAACAAAAGTTTGTTTTCAAGGAGCTTACATTCTAATTATTCTTTTAAATACCTGGTTATACCCCATATGGAACACAGGAAAAGTGAGGTAATCTGCAATTTCTATGCTCAGCTTTCCTTTTTTTTTTTTTTTTTTCTTTTAGGAGATGAGAGTCTTGTTATGTTACCCAGAGTAGATGTAACTCCCAGGCTCCCTAAGCAGCCAGGATTACACGCGCACCACCACTCCTGGCTCAGATATAGTCTTGGTTTTTCTTTTATATGGCAGTTAGGAAAGGCCACTTCTGATGGAGCGACAGGTCTATGGTGAGCGCAAACGCACACTAAACTTACAGGTTAAATGGAGCTGAAGCGGAGCGCTGCAGGCAGGTGTGGGGCCTCGGTGCTCCTCCACCCGTGGTACCCAGGCGGCCGGGGCGGCACTAGCGCGGGGAGATGCAATACTACTCAAGTTATGAGGTCTGCAGCCATAGCACGAGAGACCTGGAGGACGCGCGCTCAAGCCTGGCTGTTTTCTCCGGGTTCTCCAGTTCTGCCCCGCCCCTTCCCTGCGGCCCTGCGTGCCTCTGGGGGCGGGGCCTTGCACGTCGTGACGCACCGCGGCCGCGTTGCGCCGCGGGTTTGATGAGCGCGGTTCCGATGAACGCGGTTCCCGGGGAGACGGCTGCGGTTGCGGTGTACTATGGAGCCGAGGGTTGTCAAGCCTCCGGGGCAGGATTTAGTAGTGGAGCGTCTCAAAAGCCGCTACGGACTCGGGGGCAGCTGCCCGGACGAGGTGAAGCCGCCGCTCCGAGGTCCGCGGGTGGACTCCTGCTGCTGCGGAGCAGCTCACCCCGTGCTCAGCCCAGCCGGCCTGGGGGCGCGCAGCGGCTCTGGTCCCGGCCCCGGCACTCCCGCGGTGGCTGCGGCTCGGGCCTCGTGGAAGCGGGCGGGAGGGGCGGGCTTTGCGGTGCAGGGGCGCGGGGTCGCCACTTCACCTATGCCTCTGTGTTCATGGTATACGGGGCATGGTGTGATGTTAGAGAAAGTATTATTCAGCTTTTTTATTTTTGCAGTGATGTGAGTGGAGTTGAGAAAACAGCTGAATTGCTTTTTAAAAGCGGCTTATTTCGAAATAATTTCAGACTTACTCAAAAGTTGCTGCCGTAGTACCAATAATTCCCTTGTACCCTCACTTGCATTCACAAATTAATATTTTGCCACATTTGCTTTACCATTCGTTTTCTCGCCTTCTTTCCCTACACGCGTTTTTTCCCTTTGAACTATTTGAGGGTAATTTGCAGTCATCATGCCCCTTTACCTCTAGATAGAAAGAACTTGTGTGCTTTTCCTAAGCATAAGGACGTTCTCTTTTAATAACCACAGTAATATTTTCAGGAAATTTACAATTGATATATTTGGTAATCTTGAGTTCATATGAAATTTCAACAATTATCTCGATAATGCCTTTTATAGGAAAAATTTTTTCCTAGTGCAGATCCAGTCCAAGAACGAGCATTGATTGCATTTGATTGTCCTTTTTGTTGCCTATAACCTGGATCAGGTTCACAGCCTTTGTTTTCTGTAAGATTGGTTTTTTTGAAAAGTGTAAGAATTATTTATTGGAATGTTCCTCCATTTAGATTTATCTTATGGATGCCTCTTCGTTAGATTGATTATGCATTTTTGGCAGGAGCATGAGATGAGTGATGTGTGATCTGCTGTGGGGAGGCACATGATGTTGGTTTGTCACATTATTGATGATATTAACTTTGATCACTTGGTTAAGATGGTGTCTACAGGATTTCTCCACTCTAACCTTTGTAATTAATACATAATTTGTAGGGAAATATTTTGAGACAGTAAATTGAGTCTTAGGATACAAATTAAATATCTTTTCTCTTTTTTAGTATGATTTTTCAAATTTTGATCAGTCTAAATGTAAGAGAAGAACTCTGACCTCCCCAGGTAAGCCAGTATTTTGTATATTTGGGGGTTTCAAAAGTTTAATTTGAGGCCGGGGGCGGTGGCTCACGTCTGTAATCCCAGCACTTTGGGAGGCCGAGACAGGCGAATCGCCTGCGGTCAGGAGTTCGAGACCAGCCAGGCCAACACGGTGAAATCCCGTCTCTACTAAAAATACAAAAAATTAGCCGAGCTTGGTGGCGGGCGCCTGTAATCCCAGCTGCTGGGAAGGCTGAGGCAGGAGAATCGGTTGAACCTGGGAGGCGGAGGTTGCGCTGAGCTGAGATGGCGCCACTGCACTCCAGCTTGGGCAACAAGAGCGAAACTCAGTCTCAGAAAAGTAAAAGAAATTTGAGAGAGAAGATTTTAAAACTAATATTATTTAGACTTGTGGCCAGTGCCAGATATTTTGTGATATATTGTTCTGGTAATCTTTCGTGGTTTATTTGTCATTGACAGGTGATTTGGATATCTACTCTGGAGATAAAGTTGGTTCATCATTAAAATATTCTGATGAAAGCAAGCATTGTAGAACACCATTGTGCAGCTTATTCAAGCGCGTAAATGTGAATTGGTAAAGTACCCTGAAACTTTACTGTTGCTACCCCCTCAGTATCTCAAGAAACTGAGAAAGCGAAAAGGGCAAGTTACATTTTTGCTCTTTCCTGAGAACAAGTATAAGGCAGTCTGGAGCCTGCTAAATAGTTGAAGCGAGTCACTTACTAATTTTTACTGAGGATCTCTGTAATAAAAGCATAGACCTAGCATTATGTTTAGTGTAGCATAATGGAAAATTATTTATATAATGTAAAAGATGAAAAAATATTTTTATGGTTATTCATCCGGGACCCAAATGCAGACTGTGCTCCCTTTCTTTAAATAAAAATGTTTAGAAAAGGAACTATGGACCAGGTGCGGTGGCTCATACCTCTAATCCCAGCACTTTGGGAGGCCGAGGCGGGTGGTTCACCTGAGGTCAGGAGTTCGAGACCATTCTGGCCAACATGGTGAAACCCCGTTTCTACTAAAAATAGAAAAATTAGCCGGGCGTGGTGGTGTGCGTCTGGAATCTCAGCTACTTGAGAGGCTGAGGCAGGAGAATCACTTGAACCCAGGAGGTGGAAGTTGCAGTGAGCTGAGATTGCGCCATTGCACTCCAGCCTGGTTGACAAGAGCAAAACTCTGTCCTAAAGAAAAAAAAAAAAAAGTAACTACAAAAAAACCTGCCATACAAGTTTTGTTAGGCAGCAGCATTTTACTATCTCTGGTGTGTCTGGTAGTGTGGTACACATTGTATTTAGGTGGTTAAGAGAGAGATTGAAGAAGGCAGTCTGGGGAGATGGGAACTACAGTGCTGGATTAAAAGAAGTTGCCATTCTGTAAGGAAGATACTATTTACTATGGGGAAAAAGTACAAAAAACAGTGGAAGCTAAGGTAAAATAAAGATCTAAGTTGGATATTATTTAATGCCAAAAATATGTGGCAGAAAGAAATGCTATGGGTATCAAGGAGGAGTAAGCATTTTGAAATAAAGATGTATATGTGTATAAAATGAAATGTTGAGATAATCGTGGAGAGAAAAAATAATTATACCTAAAGTATTATCTGTATGTTACTAACATAAGTAGTATTTGGGAGCTTGACTTTTTTTTAATACAGTTTTCTGTTTCTCTTCTTAAATAAGTTAAATCTGTGTAATACACTGAACAGTTCTGGGTAAATAATAAGTACTCAAATGTTAGCTGTTATCATTATTGTTATTACTGTTTCATTTTGCACTCACAAAATCTAGTTGATCTAGATTTAGGATTTAGACATGAGCTATGTTGAATGTAGGGTAAGGAAAGTGAAAATTGCTTTTAAGGTAATAAATTCATGGAAATTATTTTCTTTTTAACTGAGTTTTATCATTTTTAAAATAATGACCTGGGTATAATTCTGAACTATAATCTAAAGGTTTTGGACTATGAAGATTTTCATAACATTGGACCCCTAGTTGTGATCTGGTCTGAAACTATGCTGTCCAGCACAGTAGCAACAGGCCACATGTATCTATTGAGTACTTGAAATGGGGCTGGTCTGAATTGCCAGACGCTGTAACTGTCATATACACACGGACTTTCTAAGACTTAGCATAGATAACAAAAATTAGCAGGGCATGGTGGCGGGTGCCTGTAGTCCCAGCTACTCGGGAGGCTGAGACAGGAGAATTGCTTGGACCCGGGAGGCGGAGGTTGCAGTGAGCCAAGATCGTGCCACTGCACTACAACCTGGGTGACAGAGCGAGACCCCCTCTCAAAAAATAAATAAGCATGGATAAAATAATGTAAAATATCTTAATTTTGTGTGTGTGTGTATGTGGATTTGCAGGGAGCGGGGTCATGCTCTGTTGCCCAGGCTGTGAGTGCAGTGGCATAATTGTAACTCACTGTAGCCTCCAACTCCTGTGCTCAAATGATCCTTTCACCTCAGCCTCCTGAGTAGCCGGGATTACATATGTGTACCACTACTCCTGGCTAATTTATTTTATTTAATTTATTTTTTTTGTAGAGACGGAATCTCACTGTGTTGTCCAGGCTGAACTTGGACTCCTGGACTCAAGAGATACTCCCACTTCAGCCTCCCAAAGTGCTGAGATCACAGGCATGAGCCACCATGCCTGTTGTAGCTTAATAATTTTTAACATTGATTACATGTTGAAATGATAAACTTTTAGATATACTATATTAAATAGTATTTTTAAA